CGTATCCCCCTCTTCTCGCTTCTCACTGTTTTGTTGCATGATCCAGTCGACCACAATCAGGAAGATCATGGGCGATAGTAGGTGGCAGCCTTGTCTTACTCCTGTCTTCACTTCAAAAGCATCACTGAGCTTCCCATTGTGGATCACCTGGCATGTAGCGTCTTCATATAGTTGTTGAATGAGATTGATAAAGGTTTGTGGTATTCGGTAGTGTTGAAGCAGCTGCCTGTCAAATTACTTCTCTGTCGACGCTGTCAAAGGCCTTTTCAAAGTCGATGAAGGTGAGGTAGAGGGTTGACTGCCATTCTATACTCTGTTCTGTGATGATGCATAGAGTGGCGTTGCAATTTGATCGGCACGTGAATTGTTCCTCCTGAAGCCAGCCTGTCGAGGTCGTAATTTTGAATGCAGAGCATGTTTTTTAGCCTCTCCAGGATGATGCGACCTAATGTTTTGTTTGGGTGGACAGGAGCGTGATTCCTCACCAGTTCTTGCAAAGGCTTAGGTCGCCCTTGTTCGGGAGTTTGATAAGACGAGACCTAGTTCCAATCTGCAGATACCTTCCCTTCCTTCGAAACCATCTGCGGTAGTGGTGTGAGCATGTCCACTGTTGTCCCTGCGTCTGTTCTCAATGCTTCTGGCGGGATTCCATCAGGTCCTGCTGCTTTCTCACGTTTCAGTAGCTTTATGACGCTTAGGACTTCGACTTTTGTTGGAGGATTTGTGTTGACTGGCAGTTCTGCGGCTGCAGGTGGTATTTCTGGACGAGTTGCAGGTGGTGGTGGTCGATTCAAGAGCTTTTTGAAGTGGTCAGCCCATCAGCTCCTTTGTTTCTCTTCTTTGGTAATTAAATTTCCTCCATCATCTTTCATTGGTTTCATCTGTGTTGATCTCTACCCTCCCCAGATAGTAAACTTTTTATTTGATATAATGTTGTCAGGTCTCTGTCTCTCCTACCTGCAGCTTGTTCTGCTTCACTTGCCAGTGTGTCGTAGAAGTGTCTTTTGTCTTTGCACACACTCTTGTTCACTTCCTTGTCCAGTGTAGTGTTTTATACGTTGGACTCAGTTCCTCTTTTCGTCGTTCATCACTGCACTGCACTGCACTGCACTGGTTTATCTTCTGCTTCACCATCCTCCTCTCCCTCCTCTATCAGCTTCCATGTGTCGATAGAGATCCATTCCTCGTATTGTTTCCTCTCCCTCCCTAACACGGTTATGCAAGTTTCTTCCGACATCTCTTTCAAAGAGTTCCAATGTTCTTCGATGCAGGTTTCCTCGGGGATGTTGCTCAATGTCTCTCTCCCATTTTGTCCTGATGACTTGACTGACTGACGTGAAGATGTCCCTTGTAGTTTCGTGCTTCAGTTTGTGTTCTGGGTGTTGAACTTGAACTTTGGTTTATCACCAAGTTTTTTGAAGGCTTTCAACTTGATTTGGAAGGTTCCTTGCACTAGATAGTGAGTGGTGAGTGTGAAGCTACATCTGCTCCTCTTCTTCATCTGATCTTGTGTCGAGTAGACTGGGTCTCCACTTTCTTGAGATTGAGATGAAGTCGATGTGATTTTCAGTGTAGTGTGTCCTTGTGTCAGGTGAAATCAAATGCATGTCGCTCGCTTTGTGGATATCCTTGTGCTTGAACACAGTGTCTCACTGCAATCACGAAATGGTTGAATGCACAGAATTCTGCAACCAATTCTTCATTCTCGTTCATCACCTCACCGGGCGCTTCTCGACCCATGGTTAGTTCTCTTCCAGTGTTGTCGGCTTGGAGTTTGGGATTCATGTCACCGATTGGGATTTTGATGTTGCCAACTGGGGTGAGGTCTTGTCTGGTACTGATTTCAGTTGTCTGTAGAATTCCTCCTTCTTCTCTTGATTTGCATTATTTTTGCGTGCATAGCGTAGTATTGCATGATTGTGACTTTCCTTCTTTTTGATTTGAATCTTGCTGTCATGATCCTGCAGGAGGAGACTGGTTCCCACCTCATGAAAGCCTTTGCTGCTGTTGGGGATATCATGGTATTCAGTCTAAAATTCAGTGCTTGTGGTTGTAGCGTGGGGCGAGAATATCGGAGTAGATTATTGACTCTCGCGGATTCCAAGCACTTCAATGCGATACCTTCTCATCTCTTTTGCAATCTGGAGAGCCTTGCTAGGTTCAAACATGTTGTGGACAATTCATGTCCCTATATTTACGTTTACTTTCATCTAGAGAGAGAGAAGACACATCGGCCAATTGGCTTCCTGAAGGCTTTCACCAACCGGCGTCATTTCGCCTCTCCGATTCCAGCGACGAATAATTTTGTTTTTATTTTTTATATTTTGTTTGTGCTTTGGAGTTTCTTTGGCGGTTGGATTTGTTTTACGGGGTAGGGTTGCTAGCCGTACGCCCAACCTTCTTTATATATATATATATATATATATATATATATATATATATATATATATATATATATATATATATATATATATATATATATATATATATGGTAAACGTTGTGGTAACGTTATTTCAACTTAACACGTACCACCTATATTTTGACTCCGTTGAAATACAAACAATCTACAGTCAGCCAGAAATTTTATAGCCCTAACCCTAGGGTGTTGATAACTAATGCATAATGGTACATCACAATGCAATAATGTTGGTCTACTGCATCGAGAACTTTGACCAGAATGTACTATGCTTCATTATCATCGAGTACTCAAAAACTAACAGTGCATGAATAAATATATCAATCCAAATAAAGTATCTTCATTATGTTGTAGTTTAGTTCACGACGGGTAGAGGTAGAATCCGGGACGCGCATTCTCGATTCCACTGCTAGCCACCACCAAGTAGAATAAAACATTATGAATGTTCGGGCGATTTCGAGGCATCTGTATAGGAGTCCATCTACCAACATAGATTGAGGAGTTCGACTTGGTAAATATCAATCAAAATACTATCTTCGACTCCCTCATAAGTAAATGTAGACGAAATTTAGACCAAAGAGTTACCTGGATGCTTCAGTAGAATATAACAGAATGAGGACAATTCAATGGAATACCTTAGAAAATCGTATTCATCAGAATAATTCGGTATGTTTAAAACTCGCAATGAAGTGAAGAAGATATATTTGAAAGATAGTAAAAGCCACAAATGAGGTAGTGTGAGGATAAGAGTTGAACAAGTCATATAGAACGAGAGGTTAGTGGTTAATATCGAAGCTGATACTTAGTAAACGGGACATATAACGAAGAATCTCGTCTCCTTCGACTTTTTGTATTTGTTTTCAGTTCGCATTAACAGTCACTGTGAAACGTGACACTAATGTGAGATCTGGCATCACTGTGTAACAATTCAAGTTGCCACACTTCATACCAGCACACCAAGAGACAGACTCTCAAGGTGAAAGAGATATAAGAAAGAAGGTAACCAAGAGTACCAGAAAGTCGTTAAAAGATAACGAGAAGGAATGAAACAACCTTGAAGTTTGACATGACGATTAAGATGAAGATAATATCTGGATACATCTGTGCTTTTGGGATCGATTTTGAACTATGCATATCACCTAGTCTCCAACCGCTAATTTTGGTTGTCACGTGAACCCCAGGTGAGCAGTTCACATATTCCTAGGCGACTCAGAGGAACAGCCAGAGACTGACTCCACATTTCAATCTGGTTACCCCTTAACTGTTTCCAACCTAAACCTACTTCAGTTAATGTTGCGTGACGAAGCAAACAGTGACTAGGCGTGAGTAACACATCTGAGCTATCCAACTCCATAAAGGTCCACAACCTAAACAAATTAGTTCCCCTCTTCCATCCAAGACTCTACGCCTGACTACAACGTTGCCCACCTGGATGTTAAACGACACAGACTATGCTACGAAGGCAGTGATCATCGAGCACCTGAAGCTCTCGCATGTCCTCCACCTTTATTGGCCATGTTTCACAGCCATATAGGTAATCGGATATTGCCCCGGTGGCATAGATGGCATACATAGCAAAACGCAACCTCAGTCTTTTGCATTCGTGCAGACATTTCGTCGATCACTGACACACCAATGCTGCTCCAAATTCCCAAGTATAGTAAACGGTCAACACCCTCAACAACCTCACTCCACATTCTTAGACGGGCACCACCCCTAGACTATTCCTGGAGCAGTTTGCATTTAGGAGAACAGGAAACATCCCAAACATCCTCAAATTCCCACTCAAGGCGTTCAGAAGAGTCCGCTTCTTGTCAGCATCTTCATCGAACAGAACTATGTCACATGTATATTCTAGGGTCTACAAAGGATTCTGCTGTGATAAGGTCACTCCAAGTAAAGTCAGACAATTGGAGGCAAACCTCAAAAGGTACGTCTATAGAAAAATTAAATAAGACTGAAGCCAGCAGATATCCTTGACGAACACCACTTGACGTGTGCAACTAGCCATACGCTCTGAAACGCCCAAGATTGTTCGAATGCGAAGCCCTCAACAGAGTAATGTACTTTCCAATACCTGGAGCAGAGTAAATAACTGGTCGATACATTCACGACTACTTACATAACCTGCGCGGAAATACGCAGGCTGCAACCAACAAGTGATTGCTGCCCAAACAGGTGCTCCTAAAGGACATGCAATCACCCGCTGACCCGCCCCAGAGATTTGGTCTACTTGTATCCACTGTTGAGCTGAGGTCAGTGGACTTCACATCAGACAATGTCTCTCTGAACATCTGAGGTTCATGTTAGCCAGAAATAGATGGTTGTCTGGTGGCAGTTGCAGCAGGTGATCGCCGTTATGTGTTCGTTCGGCCGGGATTCCTAAAGCGTTTTCCCACCTGACTCACCCAAGCCACTTGGTCACAGAAATCGCCTGTTACAACCGTCACATCAATACGTAACAGTTATGTTTATTTACCTGATTATTCTAAATTCACGCAAATTCGCACGCTTAAATACAAAAAAGAGTATCTCATATTAAACAGAAGTTCATATATGCAAATTGAAGAAAAAGTCAGTAATTTAAACAAAATTTATCCTTTATCTCATTGAAACATTGACAGTGTTCATTATTCATTATAATCTCGCATTGAATTCAAGGTGAAAAGTACATTTCAATGGAATAGAGCAATTTAAATAAACTAGTGCATAATAATGATTCAGAAAACGAAGAAGAAATCGAAAAGAAAAGAGGGGATTACGTCATCATAAAAAGAAGCTATCGCACATAACAATGACAACATGAATAATAAGTACTTTATAGTCAGTCATGATAATGATCATCTACTGTGTAACTAATGTAAAATAAATCAATCACATGGAAATCATTATTATTATTATTATTATTATTATTATTATTATTATTGTTATTATTATTATTATTATTATTATAGTAGCGATGATAAAGAATGGCAAAAAATGCTTGGATATTTGTCGCCATTATTATTAACTAGCAATAATAACAGCATTGTCTAAAGTGTGAAACTACTAGTCAATCAATCCGCTGAAACTATACTACTCATAAACATAAAGTAAGAGATAGGAGGAAAATAACACATTCTCTTAACTTGTTGATGAAATAGTAAGTGAATTAGCAAACTGATGCTGATGTTGCAAATCGCAGTGAGTAGTAGTCACCCTACTACATAATTGTCTTTTTCACTAAAAATACTACTATTAACTAACATCGAAAGCAAAAATAGTAAACATGTAGATAAGGTTTAACTTTTCTTCTTTCCTTTTTTCTCAAAAAAAAAGGGAAAAGAAGAACCCTTCCTACATATTCGATGATGCTTCAAGTATCTTTTCTTTGAAACAAACAAGTTGATGAGAAGAAACAACAAGAAATAGTAGTAATGGTGTTGGTATAAGCAATACTAAGAATAATAGCAAAGAAGGTAAATCAAATGTTATAACTAAAAAGTACAAATAGTAAACTTGAAACGGGCATAATTGTATTTTGCTTAATTTGATATTCATGTGTATCGTGATGTGCTAACACATAGGTATGCATGTTTACGTGTGAATCGTAGAATGAGCGGTGGATAAAGGCGAATAGATGTGTAATGTAGGCAAGCATTCATCATGGACGATGAATAGTACTTCAATCTGACTAGATAAGGCAAAGCGAAAGAAATGAAAAAAGTCACCCGTTGTCGGTTTTTCCAACACCAAGAAATGAATCAATAATTAGGATGATTACAACATTGATGAATGACAAAAGCAACACTAGAAACCGGTTATAGGTGTAGTTCTCATGTTTGATTATCACCGGTAGTACCACCTTCACCAGTAGTATGTGATGAAAATGGTTCAAGACCGTGATGTGCATTCGATGAAGACACCATAGGTTCCAAAAAATTGTCTTGCACAACCGACTGAGATTCCAGGTTTTCACTATGTTCATCGTATGCCATAAGATTTTGACTAGTTTCTACTCCAGGTGAAGAGTGACCAACATGATGAGCATGTCGTACACCATCTTCACTTGCCTCATATTCAGATGGATTAACTACTGATTCGCTTGGTAAGGGATCATTAGCAAGCTCTGAAACCATAGAGGGATGATCTGGGACCGGGACTGAACTACTCTGATCTAAGTGTTTTCGAAAAGAATATAATATAAATCAACAAAAGGTATGATAAGCTGATAATGATCGAATTATTCATCTAAAGTGAATAAATAGCATTCACAGTTGGATTTATGCATTTTAAAAAGATGGAAGATTTAGTTTACCATATGCAATTGTAGACATTAAGATACTTTATGCAGTTAGTTAGTGACAAAGCATTTACTGGTGTCACAATCTCTATTACGAGTGTATGATGGTGACCGTACTCCTTCGACCAAGTTTATAATAGAAAAACCGTCAAGTGACTCAAGCTGGCATGAATCAAATTGTATTCACTGCTAGTTGATTGATTTAGAATGGCTTCAAACAATTAGTTTTCTTGACATATGATTCCTTGGTGAGGAAATAGAAGAGAGAAATCTTCATGAATCGATACTCGTCATTATACATAAAAAGCCACAAGTGAATGAGAAACAGTAGATGAAGATATGCGTACACCGTACGAAATAATTACAACTGTTACGACAATATTCCAGACAGTAATTTTATATGATAAATTGGTTGCCTGTGGCTAGCAGAAGAAACCAGGATGCGCGTTTTGTCCTACTTGCGACGCGTCAGTTGGATGTACCTGCACCCCAGTGATGTTGTTCCCACTGGGACTCAAACCTCGTACCGACCGCTTCAAACACCAAGGCGCTATCCACTATGCCACGGGGGAACGATAGCCATTTCTTGTACAACGGGTAGTAGTTATTAATATTTATTGACATACCTGTTAACAAGTATGCCAATAAATAGTAACAGTAATTTTATAATTCGAATAGCTGTTAATGCGCAACGATATACGCACATACGCCAGCGTGTATACTTTGCTCCTGTCACGTGTAACTCAACGGTACTTAGAAATAAAAATTATGCATACGTAAGTGCGAATCCTGAGTTGCTGTTTTTTTTCCAGAATAAATACATTTAGCAACACACATGTGCTTTTCAAAACAGTTCTAATTATGAATTGATAATGTTGGCTGAGAAGATAAGAATTAGTGAACAGTTGTTTCTTTCAGGTTACAGACGTTTCGAATAACCTACACCTTAGACAAAAAATGCAAGCAATCAAATACAAGACCTTTAACTCTCCGAACAAATACATTGCAGTTCAGCCAATCACGTAGAATCCAATGAGCAGCATTTATTTTAGAATCCAGGAAGCGAAATACGTCAGGTGCCCCACTACCATATAAACAAAAACCATAACAACCTCAATACGTATAAATATCCTGCGATCCCTACATTTCAATACACATCAGAATATTGCAGCCCAACGTCTGAAAACCCTGAACAACCGCAAAGCAAGCCTTTCCTAGAACTGGTGAGGAATCACGCTCCTGTCCACCCAAACAAAACATTCAGCCGCATCATCCTGGAGAGGCTAAAAAACATGCTCTGCATTCAAAATTATGACCACGACAGGCTGGCTTCAGGAGGAACAATTCATGTGCCGATCAAATTGCAACGCCACTCTATGCATCATCATAGAACAGAGTATAGAATGGCAGTCAACCCTCTACCTCAACTTCATCGACTTTGAAAAGGCCTTTGACAGCGTCGACAGAGAAGTAATTTGACAGGCAGCCGCTTCAACACTACCGAATACCACAAACCTTTATCAATCTCATTCAACAACTATATGAAGACGCTACATGCCAGGTGATCCACAACGGGAAGCTCAGTGATGCTTTTGAAGTGAAGACAGGAGTAAGACAAGGCTGCCACCTACTATCGCCCATGATCTTCCTGATTGTGGTCGACTGGATCATGCAACAAAACAGTGAGAAGCGAGAAGAGGGGGATACGCCGGCTAAACCGGGGAAAAGATCCTAAGAGATTTGGATTTCGCCAATGACTTGTGTCTAATGTCGCACAAACTCGAAGATCTACGAGCAAAAACTAACAAGTTGACAGAAGAGGCAGCGAAGACGGGACTTCAAGTGAACGTAGAGAAGACAGAGGTGATGATGATACCCAACCACCACCGACAACAACAACAACAACAAGCACCAATCACCATCAACGGGAGAAACTTAAAGGAAGTACCCTTTTTCACCTATCTAGGCAGCACCGTTTCAACTACAGGCGGCACAGACGAGGACGTCAAAACAGCCAGGATCGGAAAAGCAAGACAGCAACGCGTTCATTAATCTGAAACTAGTGTGGAGATCTTCTGCATTCAGCATAAAGAACAACATCCGGATTTTCAACACCAACTCAGTCAAGTCAGTGCTTCTATGTGATGGTTCAGAGACTTGGCGCATTACGAAAGGGATTTCCAACAAACTACAGATATTCATCAACAACTACCTACGCTGGCTCGTCACTGAAGATCAGATGGCCAGATTAATAAGAATAAGCAACAAGGAACTCTGGCCGGGCAACGAACCAACCAAAAACCTATCGCTCAACAAATATGCAGGAGGAAGTGGAGATGGATTGGGCATGCACCGAGGAGGCCGACTGGGGACATCACGCACCAGTCCAGGCACTCGAGTGGAACTCAGATAGGAAGCGAAGAGCTGGGCGTCCGAGGTGAGGGTGACATGGAGGAGATCGTGTGAGGAAGAAATGAGAGCTTCTGGGTAGTCGTGGAGCCAGGTTCAAAAGATTGCAGGGAAGAGAGTGCAATGGAGACGTGCTACTGAAGCCCTATATTCCACCAGGAACCCAAGGGACAGATAATAAAATAATAATAATAATAATTTGAATTTTAAAAAAACCCATATCAACGATAGGTAGTGACTAGCAGTGGAATCTAGGACGCGCGTTTCATCGTATTTGGGACTCGTCAGCTGGGTGTACCTGTCTCCCAGTGAGCGATGTTGTCTCCGCTAAAATTTGAACTCAAGATCGATCAGTTCAAACCCCAGGGTGTTATCCACTGGTCAACCAGTCAATTCAGTTTAGTCAACGACGGGATGATACAGGTAACGTCAAAAGAATCATACCTTCAACTGGACGCTGAATATCTGTTTCTGCAGTTTTCTCCGTTTCATGATGTAATGCATCATCTGATAAATCGGCTTCTTGATCCCAACAATGTTCCATTGAAGGATGCATATTTCCGTTGTCGTTTGCTGCCTGTCTTGCTGTTTCGTCTTCCATTGGGAAGCTGGTATACTGTTGTTGGGTTTGTGAAGATGATATTTCAGGTTCTATAAGTTCAAAAAGTAAGTAGTTTAGATACAACATCGACAGAAAATAGAACAGTATCACATTGTGAATATACGTAGAAACGAAGAGCTAAGCAAACAACAGTGTCATCCATTTCCTTAAGCATCCATAGAAATATTGTTGGGTCGGGTCACTAGGGTGATTAATGTTCATAGGTTAAGAACCTTCAATATCAGTAAATTCATGGTCTGATGTAATTGTAACTTGAAGTTAGTAGCAGGAAAGTATTTTCATTATCTTGTCGCTGCTAAAAAGTGTAGCGCTACAACTGCAAGTTGAGAATCAATCACTGACGTGGACTAGAGATAGCCATCCGGTTGTCGATTTCCTACAGGTGAATGAATTGACAGAGGCTATCATAAACCTCGTCTGGTTAACTAGTTCACTAGTTACTGGCCGGTCCTAAGCCCGGGTGAAGAGGGAAGTTTGGGCATACGGCTAGCAACCCTACCCCGTAAAACAAATCCAACCGCTAAAGAAACTCCAGAGCATAAACAAAATATAAAAGATAAAAACAAAATTATTCCTCGCTGGAATCGGAGAGGCGAAATGATGCAGGTTGGTGAAAGCCTTCGGGAAGCCAATTAGCCGATGTGTCTTCTCTCGATGAAAGCAAAAGTAAATATGGGCACACATGGAATGTCCGCACTATGTCTGAACCTAGTAAGGCTGCCCAGATTGCAAAGGAGATGAGAAGGTATCGCATTGAAGTGTTAGGAATTTGCAAAGCAGATGGAATAGAAGTGGACTCTTCAAACTGTCATCTGGAGAATCAATAATCTACTCGGGTCACCCAGAAGACAACCATGAGCACACGGAGGGAGTGGCTACCATGATGTCCCCAACAGCATCACAGGCTCTCATGTGGTGGGAACCAATCTCCTCCAGGATCATAACAGCAAGGTTCAACTCAAAAGGAAGGAAAGTCACAATCATGCAATGCTACGCTGTGCACGTAAAAATAATGCAAATCAAGAGAAGAAGGAAGAATTCTACAGACAACTAAAATCACTACTGGACAAGACCTCACCCCACTTGGCAACATAAAAATCCCAATCCGTGACATGAATCCCAAACTCGAAGCCGACAACACCGGAAGAGAACTAACCATGGGTCGAGAAGCGCTCGGTGAGGTGATGAACGAGAATGAAGAATTGGTTGCAGAATTCTGTGTATTCAACCATTTGGTGATTGCAGTGAGACACTGTGTTCAAGCACAAGGATATCCACAAAGCGAGCGACATGCATTTGATTTCACCAGACACCAGGACACACTACACTGAAAATCACATCCACTTCATCTCAATCTCAAGAAAGTGGAGACCCAGTCTACTCGACACAAGATCAGATGAAGAAGAGGAGCAGATATAGCTTCACACTCACCACTCACTATCTAGTGCAAGGAACCTTCCAAATCAAGTTGAAAGCCTTCAAAAAAGTTGGTGATAGACCAAAGTTCAAGTTCAACACCCAGAACACAAACTGAAGCACGAAACTACAAGGGACATCTTCACGTCAGTCAGTCAAGTCATCAGGACAAAATGGGAGAGAGACATTGAGCAACATCCCCGAGGAAACCTGCATCGAAGAACACTGGAACTCTTTGAAAGAGATGTGGGAAGAAACTTGCATAACCGTATTAGTGAGGAAGAGGAAACAATACGAGGAATGGATCTCTATCGACACATGGAAGCTGATAGAGGAGGGAGAAGAGGATGGTGAAGCAGAAGATAAACCAGTGCAGTGCAGTGCAGTGCAGTGATGAACGACGAGAAGAGGAACTGAGTCCAACGTATAAAACACTACACTGGACAGGGAAGTGAACAATAGTGCGTGCAAAGACAAAAGACACTTCTACGACACACTGGCAAGTGAAGCAGAACAAGCTGCAGGTAGGAGAGACAGAGACCTGACAACTTTGTATCAAATAACCAGGTTACTATCTGGGGAGGGTAGAGATCAACACAGATGAAACCAATGAAAGATGATGAAGAAAACCTAGTTACCAAAGCGGAGGAACAAAGGAGCTGATGGGCTGACCACTTCAATAAGCTCTTGAATCGACCACCACCACCACCACCACCACCAACACCTGCAACTCGTCCAGAAATGCCACCTGCAGCCGCAGAACTACCAGTCAACACAAATCCTCCAACAAAAGTCGAAGTCCTAAGCGTCATAAACCTACTGAAATGTGGGAAAGCAGCAGGACAGGATGGAATCCCGCCAGAAGCACTGAGAACAGACACAGGGACAACAGTGGACATGCTCACACCACTACTGCAGAAGGTTTCGAAGGAAGGGAAGGTATCTGCAGATTGGAAGAAAGTCTCATCTTGTCAAACTCCCGAACGAGGGCGACCTAAGCCTTTGCAAGAACTGGTGAGGAATCACGCTCCTGTCCACCCAAACAAAACATTCAGCCGCATCATCCTGGAGAGGCTAAAAAACATGCTCTGCATTCAAAATTATGACCACGACAGGCTGGCTTCAGGAGGAACAATTCATGTGCCGATCAAATTGCAACGCCACTCTATGCATCATCATAGAACAGAGTATAGAATGGCAGTCAACCCTCTACCTCAACTTCATCGACTTTGAAAAGGCCTTTGACAGCGTCGACAGAGAAGTAATTTGACAGGCAGCCGCTTCAACACTACCGAATACCACAAACCTTTATCAATCTCATTCAACAACTATATGAAGACGCTACATGCCAGGTGATCCACAACGGGAAGCTCAGTGATGCTTTTGAAGTGAAGACAGGAGTAAGACAAGGCTGCCACCTACTATCGCCCATGATCTTCCTGATTGTGGTCGACTGGATCATGCAACAAAACAGTGAGAAGCGAGAAGAGGGGGATACGCCGGCTAAACCGGGGAAAAGATCCTAAGAGATTTGGATTTCGCCAATGACTTGTGTCTAATGTCGCACAAACTCGAAGATCTACGAGCAAAAACTAACAAGTTGACAGAAGAGGCAGCGAAGACGGGACTTCAAGTGAACGTAGAGAAGACAGAGGTGATGATGATACCCAACCACCACCGACAACAACAACAACAACAAGCACCAATCACCATCAACGGGAGAAACTTAAAGGAAGTACCCTTTTTCACCTATCTAGGCAGCACTGTTTCAACTACAGGCGGCACAGACGAGGACGTCAAAACAGCCAGGATCGGAAAAGCAAGACAGCAACGCGTTCATTAATCTGAAACTAGTGTGGAGATCTTCTGCATTCAGCATAAAGAACAACATCCGGATTTTCAACACCAACTCAGTCAAGTCAGTGCTTCTATGTGATGGTTCAGAGACTTGGCGCATTACGAAAGGGATTTCCAACAAACTACAGATATTCATCAACAACTACCTACGCTGGCTCGTCACTGAAGATCAGATGGCCAGATTAATAAGAATAAGCAACAAGGAACTCTGGCCGGGCAACGAACCAACCAAAAACCTATCGCTCAACAAATATGCAGGAGGAAGTGGAGATGGATTGGGCATGCACCGAGGAGGCCGACTGGGGACATCACGCACCAGTCCAGGCACTCGAGTGGAACTCAGATAGGAAGCGAAGAGCTGGGCGTCCGAGGTGAGGGTGACATGGAGGAGATCGTGTGAGGAAGAAATGAGAGCTTCTGGGTAGTCGTGGAGCCAGGTTCAAAAGATTGCAGGGAAGAGAGTGCAATGGAGACGTGCTACTGAAGCCCTATATTCCACCAGGAACCCAAGGGACAGATAATAAAATAATAATAATAATAATTTGAATTTTAAAAAAACCCATATCAACGATAGGTAGTGACTAGCAGTGGAATCTAGGACGCGCGTTTCATCGTATTTGGGACTCGTCAGCTGGGTGTACCTGTCTCCCAGTGAGCGATGTTGTCTCCGCTAAAATTTGAACTCAAGATCGATCAGTTCAAACCCCAGGGTGTTATCCACTGGTCAACCAGTCAATTCAGTTTAGTCAACGACGGGATGATACAGGTAACGTCAAAAGAATCATACCTTCAACTGGACGCTGAATATCTGTTTCTGCAGTTTTCTCCGTTTCATGATGTAATGCATCATCTGATAAATCGGCTTCTTGATCCCAACAATGTTCCATTGAAGGATGCATATTTCCGTTGTCGTTTGCTGCCTGTCTTGCTGTTTCGTCTTCCATTGGGAAGCTGGTATACTGTTGTTGGGTTTGTGAAGATGATATTTCAGGTTCTATAAGTTCAAAAAGTAAGTAGTTTAGATACAACATCGACAGAAAATAGAACAGTATCACATTGTGAATATACGTAGAAACGAAGAGCTAAGCAAACAACAGTGTCATCCATTTCCTTAAGCATCCATAGAAATATTGTTGGGTCGGGTCACTAGGGTGATTAATGTTCATAGGTTAAGAACCTTCAATATCAGTAAATTCATGGTCTGATGTAATTGTAACTTGAAGTTAGTAGCAGGAAAGTATTTTCATTATCTTGTCGCTGCTAAAAAGTGTAGCGCTACAACTGCAAGTTGAGAATCAATCACTGACGTGGACTAGAGATAGCCATCCGGTTGTCGATTTCCTACAGGTGAATGAATTGACAGAGGCTATCATAAACCTCGTCTGGTTAACTAGTTCACTAGTTACTGGCCGGTCCTAAGCCCGGGTGAAGAGGGAAGTTTGGGCATACGGCTAGCAACCCTACCCCGTAAAACAAATCCAACCGCTAAAGAAACTCCAGAGTATAAACAAAATATAAAAGATAAAAACAAAATTATTCCTCGCTGGAATCGGAGAGGCGAAATGATGCAGGTTGGTGAAAGCCTTCGGGAAGCCAATTAGCCGATGTGTCTTCTCTCGATGAAAGCAAAAGTAAATATGGGCACACATGGAATGTCCGCACTATGTCTGAACCTAGTAAGGCTGCCCAGATTGCAAAGGAGATGAGAAGGTATCGCATTGAAGTGTTAGGAATTTGCAAAGCAGATGGAATAGAAGTGGACTCTTCAAACTGTCATCTGGAGAATCAATAATCTACTCGGGTCACCCAGAAGACAACCATGAGCACACGGAGGGAGTGGCTACCATGATGTCCCCAACAGCATCACAGGCTCTCATGTGGTGGGAACCAATCTCCTCCAGGATCATAACAGCAAGGTTCAACTCAAAAGGAAGGAAAGTCACAATCATGCAATGCTACGCTGTGCACGTAAAAATAATGCAAATCAAGAGAAGAAGGAAGAATTCTACAGACAACTAAAATCACTACTGGACAAGACCTCACCCCACTTGGCAACATAAAAATCCCAATCCGTGACATGAATCCCAAACTCGAAGCCGACAACACCGGAAGAGAACTAACCATGGGTCGAGAAGCGCTCGGTGAGGTGATGAACGAGAATGAAGAATTGGTTGCAGAATTCTGTGTATTCAACCATTTGGTGATTGCAGTGAGACACTGTGTTCAAGCACAAGGATATCCACAAAGCGAGCGACATGCATTTGATTTCACCAGACACCAGGACACACTACACTGAAAATCACATCCACTTCATCTCAATCTCAAGAAAGTGGAGACCCAGTCTACTCGACACAAGATCAGATGAAGAAGAGGAGCAGATATAGCTTCACACTCACCACTCACTATCTAGTGCAAGGAACCTTCCAAATCAAGTTGAAAGCCTTCAAAAAAGTTGGTGATAGACCAAAGTTCAAGTTCAACACCCAGAACACAAACTGAAGCACGAAACTACAAGGGACATCTTCACGTCAGTCAGTCAAGTCATCAGGACAAAATGGGAGAGAGACATTGAGCAACATCCCCGAGGAAACCTGCATCGAAGAACACTGGAACTCTTTGAAAGAGATGTGGGAAGAAACTTGCATAACCGTATTAGTGAGGAAGAGGAAACAATACGAGGAATGGATCTCTATCGACACATGGAAGCTGATAGAGGAGGGAGAAGAGGATGGTGAAGCAGAAGATAAACCAGTGCAGTGCAGTGCAGTGCAGTGATGAACGACGAGAAGAGGAACTGAGTCCAACGTATAAAACACTACACTGGACAGGGAAGTGAACAATAGTGCGTGCAAAGACAAAAGACACTTCTACGACACACTGGCAAGTGAAGCAGAACAAGCTGCAGGTAGGAGAGACAGAGACCTGACAACTTTGTATCAAATAACCAGGTTACTATCTGGGGAGGGTAGAGATCAACACAGATGAAACCAATGAAAGATGATGAAGAAAACCTAGTTACCAAAGCGGAGGAACAAAGGAGCTGATGGGCTGACCACTTCAATAAGCTCTTGAATCGACCACCACCACCACCACCACCACCAACACCTGCAACTCGTCCAGAAATGCCACCTGCAGCCGCAGAACTACCAGTCAACACAAATCCTCCAACAAAAGTCGAAGTCCTAAGCGTCATAAACCTACTGAAATGTGGGAAAGCAGCAGGACAGGATGGAATCCCGCCAGAAGCACTGAGAACAGACACAGGGACAACAGTGGACATGCTCACACCACTACTGCAGAAGGTTTCGAAGGAAGGGAAGGTATCTGCAGATTGGAAGAAAGTCTCATCTTGTCAAACTCCCGAACGAGGGCGACCTAAGCCTTTGCAAGAACTGGTGAGGAATCACGCTCCTGTCCACCCAAACAAAACATTCAGCCGCATCATCCTGGAGAGGCTAAAAAACATGCTCTGCATTCAAAATTATGACCACGACAGGCTGGCTTCAGGAGGAACAATTCATGTGCCGATCAAATTGCAACGCCACTCTATGCATCATCATAGAACAGAGTATAGAATGGCAGTCAACCCTCTACCTCAACTTCATCGACTTTGAAAAGGCCTTTGACAGCGTCGACAGAGAAGTAATTTGACAGGCAGCCGCTTCAACACTACCGAATACCACAAACCTTTATCAATCTCATTCAACAACTATATGAAGACGCTACATGCCAGGTGATCCACAACGGGAAGCTCAGTGATGCTTTTGAAGTGAAGACAGGAGTAAGACAAGGCTGCCACCTACTATCGCCCATGATCTTCCTGATTGTGGTCGACTGGATCATGCAACAAAACAGTGAGAAGCGAGAAGAGGGGGATACGCCGGCTAAACCGGGGAAAAGATCCTAAGAGATTTGGATTTCGCCAATGACTTGTGTCTAATGTCGCACAAACTCGAAGATCTACGAGCAAAAACTAACAAGTTGACAGAAGAGGCAGCGAAGACGGGACTTCAAGTGAACGTAGAGAAGACAGAGGTGATGATGATACCCAACCACCACCGACAACAACAACAACAACAAGCACCAATCACCATCAACGGGAGAAACTTAAAGGAAGTACCCTTTTTCACCTATCTAGGCAGCACTGTTTCAACTACAGGCGGCACAGACGAGGACGTCAAAACAGCCAGGATCGGAAAAGCAAGACAGCAACGCGTTCATTAATCTGAAACTAGTGTGGAGATCTTCTGCATTCAGCATAAAGAACAACATCCGGATTTTCAACACCAACTCAGTCAAGTCAGTGCTTCTATGTGATGGTTCAGAGACTTGGCGCATTACGAAAGGGATTTCCAACAAACTACAGATATTCATCAACAACTACCTACGCTGGCTCGTCATTGAAGATCAGATGGCCAGATTAATAAGAATAAGCAACAAGGAACTCTGGCCGGGCAACGAACCAACCAAAAACCTATCGCTCAACAAATATGCAGGAGGAAGTGGAGATGGATTGGGCATGCACCGAGGAGGCCGACTGGGGACATCACGCACCAGTCCAGGCACTCGAGTGGAACTCAGATAGGAAGCGAAGAGCTGGGCGTCCGAGGTGAGGGTGACATGGAGGAGATCGTGTGAGGAAGAAATGAGAGCTTCTGGGTAGTCGTGGAGCCAGGTTCAAAAGATTGCAGGGAAGAGAGTGCAATGGAGACGTGCTACTGAAGCCCTATATTCCACCAGGAACCCAAGGGACAGATAATAAAATAATAATAATAATAATTTGAATTTTAAAAAAACCCATATCAACGATAGGTAGTGACTAGCAGTGGAATCTAGGACGCGCGTTTCATCGTATTTGGGACTCGTCAGCTGGGTGTACCTGTCTCCCAGTGAGCGATGTTGTCTCCGCTAAAATTTGAACTCAAGATCGATCAGTTCAAACCCCAGGGTGTTATCCACTGGTCAACCAGTCAATTCAGTTTAGTCAACGACGGGATGATACAGGTAACGTCAAAAGAATCATACCTTCAACTGGACGCTGAATATCTGTTTCTGCAGTTTTCTCCGTTTCATGATGTAATGCATCATCTGATAAATCGGCTTCTTGATCCCAACAATGTTCCATTGAAGGATGCATATTTCCGTTGTCGTTTGCTGCCTGTCTTGCTGTTTCGTCTTCCATTGGGAAGCTGGTATACTGTTGTTGGGTTTGTGAAGATGATATTTCAGGTTCTATAAGTTCAAAAAGTAAGTAGTTTAGATACAACATCGACAGAAAATAGAACAGTATCACATTGTGAATATACGTAGAAACGAAGAGCTAAGCAAACAACAGTGTCATCCATTTCCTTAAGCATCCATAGAAATATTGTTGGGTCGGGTCACTAGGGTGATTAATGTTCATAGGTTAAGAACCTTCAATATCAGTAAATTCATGGTCTGATGTAATTGTAACTTGAAGTTAGTAGCAGGAAAGTATTTTCATTATCTTGTCGCTGCTAAAAAGTGTAGCGCTACAACTGCAAGTTGAGAATCAATCACTGACGTGGACTAGAGATAGCCATCCGGTTGTCGATTTCCTACAGGTGAATGAATTGACAGAGGCTATCATAAACCTCGTCTGGTTAACTAGTTCACTAGTTACTGGCCGGTCCTAAGCCCGGGTGAAGAGGGAAGTTTGGGCATACGGCTAGCAACCCTACCCCGTAAAACAAATCCAACCGCTAAAGAAACTCCAGAGTATAAACAAAACTTGGAAAGAGAACCAAAGGGATATGTAATGAATAATGATCATAAAATATTCTGAATCAACAGGATTGAATGAGTTAACGGAGATCGATTGTTACTGCGCATTTTATATATACAATATATGGCATGCAAGTAATCAGATCTCCACCCGCTTCCATACTATAAAGGAACTATCCATTGAAATATATAGATTTTTCCACAATGATATAGGCTTGTTGGATAACGCTGTTGATTTTTCGAGACACATTTACTTGACAAACTAAAGCTGTTGGGGAAGTAAACTGATACTTCCTTATTGGTTGGTACCACCACCTCATCTGACAGTGGACAGTGAAGTAATTGAGTGAGTTGACCATCTTATTTACTTGGCAAGCAAGATGAGAATAGATGAGTCAGTAGTCTACAAAACAGTTGCACAAATACAAAAGGCTTATATGGCTCCTGCCAAACTATGCCAACTATGACATTGGTGAGATATTCGACTGCGCACTAAGAGTCAACTGTACTGCGCAGCAGTTTGATAGATCTTACTCTGTGGTTGTGAAACACGGTTTCTAAGGCTCGAAGTCATAAGACAGTTCTAGGTATTCGATAGACGTTGTCTTCATAGTATCAGACGTATGCTGTGGAAACACTGTGTAATACAGAGACTAGGCCTACAGTTTTTGATCATAAACGAAAGTCAGTCAGTAAGGCTGTAAGCCTTCATTACCAAAACGCTATATTGGCTAAAGTAGGGTTAAGTGGAAAGAAGTTAAGGGTGACAAAATCAAGAAGCGGTATCAATGCATAAAGTCTTTGATTGTTAGTGTAAAACTTGCACAGAAATTTAAACATCCTGGTTGGCGCCAGTGCGTAAACCGAAACCGATTTTTGCAATCGCTTGTAATATGGCTCAGAATCAATTCAGGCCGGGAAGATGAAGCACTAGGTATCATTATTCAAATCGTAGTATCACATTTCGTTATTAAATCTACTACTTTTCCTTATGACTTTTGCTCACATCATTCCCACTTTTCAGGCTTATTATTTGAACTCTTCAAGACAATGTTTATCATGAGGTTACACTATTACATGAATGTATGTAAGTTCGCGAAAAAGTTAGACTCCACTCGCCAGACGTCACATGGATACCTATTACGTACACAAAGGTGAAATCTACCGCTACGTGTAATGTTAGCTAGAAAATGGTAAGTGTGATCAGATTATGATATTTTACCATTGCAAAAGTTTCTGATTGTTTATTCGAGGCATGTAAATTGTCAGATTACGTTCGTCGAGATGGCCACTAAGAAATGTGCCGCACACCATCCAACTAAATCGTTTACAGGATTTCACACTAAACTATAAGCCACACTTACTGTGTGAAAATATACGATACTGACTTCGAACATGAGTCTCGTCTGTCAAATGTCAAGTGTTTCAACCGACAGGCCACAATCTCACGTATCTCTCTTGATCATTTAAACATCATGTTCTCGATTAATTTACTCTCTCTGAATCGTTTCAAAGTTTGACTACTCAAATCATAGTACTTTTGGCCATACTTCTATGCTGAGCTGTACAGCCTGAATATGTACTAACAAGTTTATCTCATTTCATCCTAATCAGTAGTAGGTTTACAAATTATCTGGATGTATTTTAAATCTAATTTTCAGTATTCATATTTCGCAAATGGAGATAAAATTATACGACTTGCTATCATTGCTTAAATGCATTATAGCGAGGTTAATTCGTTATGAGTGAATAGCTTTTGTTATTTGAATGAAGTACTAACTATTCAACAGATTTAATTTACTGCCACATATTGTTTAACTCCAGTAAATATGGTTTTAAAATAGCCGGTTCACTCTTTTAAGACACAGGATTTTCCATGTTGATTGGTTTCCTTAGGTTTGATGAAGGAGACTTATTTATTGCTGGTTATCCGATTTTTACGGAAATGAGTGACATCTGGAAAGAGTGACTGGTCAAAGTCTGATAAACGTATAGAAGCGCTATTGGTCTGATTAATTTATGACCTCCACAACAGTTTTCTCGAACTTATGTTTGTCCATCCTCGTTATAAAATTATCCGGAATAGGTTTTTATACAGAACCTAAGTAGAAGTGGCTATTTGTTGCTGAGATATGTGTTACGTATGTCTACTCACCGTCTACTCCATGAAAAGTATTAGTTAAAGTAGGTTCAGTCTGAAAAAAGATCAGAGGCGAGTAGGCAAAACATTCTATGAGTGTGTACAGTCTGACTTCTAGTTTGAGCCATGTAGGCAAATGTAAACTTCCCGGTTGCGGTTCAATAAAAAACAAAAAACCAGTGGTTGGAGACGGGGTGATTTGGCTTAGGATCGATTTCAGTGGTGCGGATGCATCCACTCGTTGTCTTCATATCCCATTCCGTTGTTCCATTATCTCATAATCATCTCTTCCTACGACTTTCAATTACCTTCTCGCTTATTTCTCTGTCATTTTGATGCCTTCCCTTTTGATGTGCCAACATGAAGTATGGTGACGACTTGCACCAGATCCCTTGTAGATTGGCTGGCTGACTTCTAAATGATTACTTACTCCGCCAACCAACCAGTCTCAGTTCTCAAAAACTCCTTAATCTCTTTAGGCATTGCATTTTTGCATAATTCAAAGCTGTCCCAGTTGGATACGTGCAATGAGATAAGAAATTACCATACTATGCTCTAATTGCAGGCTAGCAGTGAAACCCAGAACGCAAGTTTCGTTATATTTGGGACTCGTCAGCTGGACGTACCTGCACCCCAGTGACTGATGTTGTTTCGACGGAGACTCGAACCCAGTCCCCGTCGTTTCAAACGCCAGTGCTACCCACTAGGCCACTGGGGTGTGTCAGCCACCTCTTGTGCAACAGGTATCAGCTGTTGTTTGGTATGTGCAATCTCCCATTGCTATACAGGGTTGAAGTTATAGACTCTTGTTGGCAGATGGGCTCCTTTGTTGAGGCCTCGATACTGTCTGATCATTATTATTACTAGTATTACTCTAACCAAATCATCTGATTTCGTTGATTCTTACACTTGATTACTCACAAGTAGTTAATATAGTCTTCATGACTTTAAGATGCATATAGTGATGTGATGATTGAAGGATTTAAATGAATGCATACATAAATGTGAGGTGTTGACAACTTATGCTCACCTTTGTAATAATCAGGAATATCTGACTGTTCATCATGGTTCTCATCTTCAATCTCACCTTCTGACCTCAAGGTACCGGCGATTTTTTCATCTGTTTCATATATTTCTTGCTGAGAATCTTGTATTCCAGGAGCAATCAGTTCCGAGCTAGTTGTCATTGATTCACTGTCACGAATAATATCTGCTTCTTCACGTGCAACTAATTCATCATGTTTCTGAACCAACAACGGATCACCGCCATGCTGGCTAGTTGAACTAGCTGGTTCTACACCTGTTTGTTGCCAAAATTCTTCATTATCCTCTTCGAATTCCGCCTGAACTTGGCCAGTAGGAAGTATCTCTTCTTCACTATAACCACTGATTTCTCCAGATTTTCCTGGAATTTGACTATCTGAAGCCACATGACCCTGTGTTATTATTTCAGATTCATCAGGTAATGGAGACACTGTTATACCTGGACTTTTAACTACACCTTTTTGACCGAAACTATTAACAACTTGATCATTTTCAACGTATGACTGAGCTGAGATATCCTCCATACCAGACATTAAAGTTGTTGTAGCCGCTAAAGATGTTGAGAAAGGATCGGACATAGCAGGATTCATAGGATCTGAACCTTTACGTTCGTCTATTTGACGAGTAGCCTAACAAGAAAAGAATTTCATAAGAGTAAGAATAATAATCATTTTCGTCATACTGATAGTGAATAATCTTAATAAAAATCCAAGAACATAAATCGAGATACATTTCTTCCAAGTCAGTGGATCAATATGAAGATTTTCCTCGCTAACTTATTTAAATTGAATGACCCTCAGAAATGAATGAGATTTGGTAGTGAAACAAGATGAATCTCAGTTGTGTATAGACAATTTTGAGACGTCAATTTAATACTACTAAAACAAATCTCAGTAGCTAACAAACGATATCCGTTCGACAAAGAGTAGCTATCATGACTCAGTGGGTTAGGGGATAACGTTCTGGTGTTTGAAATGATGAGTATTAGATTCGCGTCTCAGTGAAAACGACGACACTAACTGCAAAGCAGGTGCATTTAGATGTCATGACCTACATGGCACGGGACACATATCCTAAATTCTACTGCTAACCACTAGTCATCAATAGTTTCCAAATATATAACTCCTTAAACTGCAAAAGTATTAGAAGGAGGGGTTACACAGAACTTGTACTTTAGGTGGAGGATGTAAATTGACTGAAATGGATAGCTGAATACAGAAGTTTTGTGTAACGCTAACAAATCAATTAAGAGATTGAATCAAAAGATTTGCATTACAATTAACACAGGACAATGTTGAGAAATGACTTTAATAATAAATAAAAATCATAATCATAATATTAGTTTGAAAGTAATTCACCTTAGCATGTTCATCAGCATCAAGTACATATCGAATATCATGCATACATGATTTGGTGACATCTTCACGACCGATTTGACGAAGTGCATAATCTAATTCATTACCTTTAAAAAAGATAAGGTGTAGAATGTGTATATAGAATTTATATATTCATCAAATTAAAAATTCTTTAAAAGAAAAAATCAGTTTACTATGAAAATAAATTACACAAGCTATCGAACATGTTTAACCAGTAGCAACTGATTCTGACACCAGTTATTTATTAGTAACTAGGAGGTTAAACAGCACTATGGTATTAGCGCTTAGTAATTAATAATATTAGTGATAATAATAAAAGTAATAATGATATCCCTGTATTTGATATGCCTTTACAGTTTCTACATGCTATTCAACAGTTAAATTGTCATACCTGTAGCCATTTCTCCATATTCTTCACGCCAAGCCAATAGAACAGCTAAAGCTTGATCTTGTACTGTTCGTAATTCATTCACACTGATTGGACCACCAAAACTACCGGCGACATCACTAGCTTCTATTGTTCCACCTAATTCCATTGCTCTCTTATTTCTTTCCACTTGCCATTTAGGTTCACTCTCATTAATCCAATTCACTAATTGATTGACAGTACATGAACTTTTTAAATTCGATTGAGGTACAAGAACTTCAATTAGTTTAGGCCAATCTGAACCAACTTCACTTGCTACTTGAATCAGATCAATTCGACTACGAGCAATAACATCCGATGTATACGCTAATACATGTATAAAAAAAAACACAACAATACAGTCAAATAAATATTTTGAAGAAGTTAAGGCTGCTGAATAGTAACCAACAGTTTTAATCTTTATTTTTAACTTAATTTTATTGATACCTAACTAAATTAAGCGACATAATGTACATAAGTACATACACACAGTTTAAAATACAATGTTGGACACCTGTATGCAGGATAAACTACCACTGCTAGCTGCTTTACTGTGTATATATCAGTTCCCCTTCTCCTATGAAGCTAGGTATATAAGCTATTTGCAAAGACATTGTTCAATGAAATAGTTCAGTAAAGGTGAATTTAGATCAATGGAAAGACCCATCCTACAGTACTCAGTCGACAGAGAATACAATTTCAGGTGATTCACTTCGTGTACTTTATAAAACTCGGAAGAACATCTCAAAGATGCACACTGAGTAATTACTTAAATGATATTGCTGAGAACAAATTTGTTCCCTGAAGGCTTTCTTCTTTTATAACTCAACAGGGAAGACTCAAATTCCCCATAAATGTTATGGATTCAAATCTTAAAATCATTATGTATTTCCTTGAGTTCTGAGGACTGTTTAGTTGATAAACATTAAAAAATATGAAGTGTAGGCAGAGGACAGATAGACAATAACAAAAAAGGACTTTTCATTACTGCATAACCGTTCAAGTTTCCATATCCTATATCAGCATATCAAGCGAGAATGCTTCAAGATGAAAGATAAAGAAACAAAGAAGAGAGTAATCAAAGGTAGTAGGAAGTTATGAAAAGAGAACAACAATGAGTGAAACTGCAGTGAACTTCGGTATTATGATCAAGATGGAGGTAATTCAGAGGATACATATGAGTCATATCACCTAGAGTCTCCCACCACCACTTTCGTTCACTACGTGGACCCCAGTCCGGGGTTTACATTTCCGTCATGGCTTAGACCAACAATCAAAGACTTCAAGGAATGATACCATGTTTTAATCTGGTCGCCTCTAAGTATAGGACAACTAAGAATATATAACATGCAAATAGGATCATGTAACCAAATGAACAATAGTCATGTAGTTAAAATGTGAACACTACAGAAATGTGATAATTAATCTAAATGTATGTCAAGTTGGCATACATCAAGGTCTGACACTAGTTGGGAAGCCATTGGAAATCTGGGAGCACTGGACAACTGTTTTGTCCTAGTATAGAACTCTCCAGCAATGCACATCCATCACTCTTCCAAGGATTGAATCCAGATCCCTTAGGTTTCACGGTGAGCACCTTATCAAGGGCCACTAGACCGGAATCCAATCTAAAGGTAACGAAAACTGAAATCTCTTAACAATGACATAAATGTTGAACTGCATCAGTTGTGTGACGTATAATGATAGTACCCAGGTTACCCAAACCTCGATAGGTGTCTACCTACCATTATCCAATAGTTGAAAATCAACTGCATAGATCAATGACTCATACTGAAAAAAAAATACACTTTATAAATATGACATTCACACATAAAAGTAACTTTTTGTCATGTTCCAATGCACTGATTTTGTTCATATAATAGACGAAGAAAGAAATAATTGCATCATAATTAATGGAATACAAGTACAAACTTTCTGTAGAAAAAGTTCATCTTTTCTTGTTATCGTGTAAATGTGTATGTACTTATATACTTATATTTTCAACAACAAAAAACATGATTAGACGTAATTGCTGATATAGTAAAGTGGACGCTAAATACTCTCACGTAAGTGCTGTAGAAAAGTTCACAAACATCATGTAGAAAACTTCTCAATATCTACCTACTATCATGTTATAATATTATTTTGAGTTAATTGAAACAAATGAATATATTATCAAGTCCAGTATAATTTGTGAAGAGACTTTGATTACAGAATCTTTTTACGCTGAATCAACTAATACCTAACCCATGTAGTAGGAATAACACAATATCTACACAGGAGATAAGGAAAAGTTTACTAGCACTAAACACAAAGTATATGAGGTTGATAGGACTATGAAAATCAGTTGTGTAAATACTTTGACATGCTTAGGAGCAATAATTTATACTGGGAACGTCATCGAATAAGTAATACTGTTGCATTGTTTGCTATATCGAATTAACAAATCGAATACAGAACTGGCTGTATTGTTTATACAGTCCTTTCATAACACTTCATGGATGGGAAGAAGGCAATGGGATGATCAATTTGTACACAATTCGCAAAATGACCATCCTATTTTCGGCATATCAGTTCATGCAAGTTAGCTAACCAGACTCAGGTGATCTAAAAAACTTGGCTCTGTGAGCTGAATTTGTCGGAGCTCGGCTCCAAAGGAGCGAAACGACTGTTTGATGCTTAGATCACTTTAGCATGGCTGACAAAATCTACAGATCAAACCGAGTGGTTGATAACTACTCAAATTAGTCAGTAGTATATTTTAATAAAGAACATAAATTTGGCCAAAACACGTGGATAATCATCGCAAATCCTTCACCTACAGTAAGCATTTTCTACAGTAGGCGACTTGAAACATAAACAACTGACGGTAAGCACCCAGGGAATCTTTTGAATTCATATCGAGACTTTTACAGTCATTCACTAATCTAGGCTAGTAAAATTTAAAAAGTGGTAAAGGAAAACACCACAAAAAATGTGAATTAATTCATTCTAAAATTCTACTATCTTAATTCAAATATGATGAGGTTACACTAAATACAATGTGTATAGGCGACTGACATTAAAAACCTTGTTTAAGAAAAAATCAAACATCGATAACACCAAAACAAAAAGGAATGAATAACTGTTACAGTATACAATAAACTCACTTGAAGGCCAATTAGATATCGGTTTATCAGATTCACCATTTTGTTCCCCATAACCTTGGTCATTTGTACGCTTACGATAGGGAAATACACAACTCAGGGAACCCATTGTCACTTCAGCTGCGCTAGTTGCATTCAACTGATCTAAGAATTCAGGATGATTTTCTAATCCAATTAATGATAAGTCAACGCCTTGTTGATCACCAGCACCACTGTCTGAACTCAGTCGAACTTCTAGTGTACACAGCGGTTTCTGAGTAGGAGCAATTTCATGATAGATATACTGTGAGTCACCATCTCCATCCTAGAAATAACAACAATGCAATAGTGCGTCATAATATATACACACATACAGAAAAATACATATTTAAGATTTTATGGATTTGTATTGAGGAGTTACAGGGAACTGATGAGAAATTCCATCTCGGTATTTGTTTACTGAAACATCTAGAAAGGTTAAACTACCTCTTTAATTTAAAGTCAACTCGTTCGGCATCATACCCGAATAACCAATCAGTTACTAGTAAAGTATCCCAGTTTCAGCTAATCTCCTATTTGTTCAGATGACAAAAAGACAAAAGTTACTAACACGTTGTTTAACCCTCAATATAGAGTGAAACTTAACCCTGCGAATATATTATACAATACTGTAATATATATATATATCATGTACTGTTCGCTTATGGATTTTTAACTTAGTTCACCATTTAGAGAACACGGTAAATCATGGGGAAGAAGCTTTATTTAAAGCATTTTCATTTAATGGATTCAAAAAATATGGGTAAAGGAAAAGCTTACATCGAATCCAGGCGAAGGCTATTGACTGATATAAATCGGTCATGTGGCACTAAACAACAATGAATAGGTTACTCTTCAATGACCAATGCAAATTCGAACTTATGCGGGGACATCAAATCCCTCGATGTTGTAGATACACCCTATTGACGAGTACTAAAAAGTACGAAACCTAGACCAAGCAGGGATTCCTGTCCATTTCTACCAACCAACCACTGCCAATAAATATGCATCATGATGAGAAGTTTTCTAGCTTCAAAACCACACTGCAAAACGATCAACAGAATTAGGTCAGCACATAAGACAAGACAACATGAACAGTCAATGTAGACTTACCAAAGTACACTTCTAATTAGGGACAGATTAACTACGCTAATTCACGTGAATCAAGAGGCTGAAAAACAGCTGATGTTAAAAATATACAAAATAAAGGACCTTGAAAAATGTCTAAACAATGAATAACACCCACTCCAACATTATCACCATATTAAATACTAACGAACAAAAGAATGACAGTCATCAGGTGGTAATCCTTCACATGACTTAGCATATTTTCACACAACATACGGAAAACATTCTCCCTTCACTTCAGAAATCGACACTTGATAGGTTTTAAAAGTGAATTTATCTAGATTCTATCTAAGCATAACAAAACAGAGATCATTAATACAACTATCTGAGATAGCTTCAGTTCGGTAGACTCATGTTATTTTATTTAACCTGGATGATGATTGAAGGTGAAATGAAAATCTGAATAGCGGCAGGATTAAAACCAACAGCTTTTGGGTTGCCGGCCCAAACATCGATTAATCTATCAAGTCATTTTGATGTAGACGTTTAACTGAGTATGCGATATTTGGAAACTGGCATATACAAAACTGTGGAAGAAATTGAGAGAAACAGCTATAAAAAAAGATTCAGAAAGCAAAATAATGCAAAATGAAGAAAATTCACAGTTGTATCTGTAAGAATTGGCTAACCAATTCGTGTACACAGTCTAGTCCTACATTAGGTCACTCATGTTTTGAACAGCTTAATGGTACAGTCTCAAACTTTCATCCTGAGTGGCGTAGAGCTCTCATCACGTAGACAGCATACCAGTTTCCTCATGACTGTTGATGGGTGTCAACAAGGACAAAACCAAGATTCAGGACTTCCTACCGACTCACTACTAACATTCAACATCAAGATCCATTGCTTCTCTACTAATGCATACAACTAATATGGTCTACTACTAATTCAGTAAATTGTTTATTACAGATGACAAAACAAATCATTAACCAATTACCATCAAAGGCTAAGAAATATCCAAGGTAAGGTAGAGACTAAACCAATTACATGTTCTGAAAACACAATATGCATAGAACATGATTAATGTTCAGATCAGTATTCAAGCGTACCACCATTAGATTAATATTATGCGTAGGTGGACGATATCTGAATTTTCACAGTTTTGGTTTTCTGATTTGCATGGACGAGTTCAGTAATTCCACCCGTGTATGGATTACCTATTCGTCCGATTTGGTTTCCCCTCATCATTTTACCGCCCAATGATTGGCTGAAATACTGTAACCAGATGGAATGCAAGTGTTGCCTTATTCTATTCCTGATAAACTTCAGTTTACTTATGACATTAAGGATGTCGACACCGCCGGTAAAGTCATGTTTTCTTTAGATATTTACTCACACTTCAGCAATCTGCCACTCACTGAAACTGTCTGTTACATATGTGAATACATCGAATCAAATAATACAAAAAGTAGGAATATCAATAAACTACCTGAGGGAACTTTTGATGAGACGTATCTTTAGTGTGCAATCTAGTTTCAATGGTGAGATGTACCGACAAAATTATGGGACTGCGATGAGATGCTCATTGGGATCTCTGATTGTAAATTGCATTATACCAAAATTGGAAAATTCTAATCTTAACAAAACTATTAGTCATTTTGACATCGACAAAAGATGCATGGGTGTATCTGTTATTTATGATGCGGATATCGATCTGGACAATATTATACATGCGTTCAACAGCTGACACAGTGACAGACTTCATCGTGGAGAAGGGATTGGGATTATCTATTTCTTATCATGATGTCTTAATTACGAGACGCAGCAGTGGATTTTTTTTCTTTAAAACGTGGAACGGGCAGCTTATTGACTTCTATTATCGGTTGCGGGTCATGAAGAAAAGAAAACTGCCATCGAATGAAAAATACTTGCAGCACAGATTGAATAGGAGTTGAACTTGAATTCTTAAGAAGTAAACTTGTGGAAAATGGCTATCCCATTCGAATTGTTCATAAAAGTATGCGAGAAAGGCGTGCAAAACCAGTCAAGAACTATTTATAAAAATACCTTATTCATGGACCTGTAGTTTTAAGGTGATATGCCATCAGAATTCCTGAAAAATAGTCTTCCGAGATCAATGAGTGACTAAACATCATTTAACTTTTACTAGCCGTAAATTATTCTTCAAATATGCAATAGACAAAATCCCTCGATAGGCTACCTCCGCATGTATCTACCAGTTCACCTGTTCCTGTGGAGTACGGTACATCGGCCGTAGTCAGAGACCGATGTCAATACATATACGAGGACATCTTCCAACCTGGCTTTATAAGGGTGAAATAAAATGTATTAGGACTTCTATGCCTGAACATTTGATAGTTTCTGGTGTTATTTAGTTGCAGTCTAACGGCAACTCTCATCAGAACATTCTCCTTTTATCTCAAACTGCCTTGTAGCATTCATATTATCTAATCCTTTGTTTATTTATTAGCTTCATCATGCTTTACCCCACTTGTAATTTATAAGCACCTTATGAAAGATCTAAAAATCGTATGCAACCCCCTTTTAGTATCAGTCGACCTTTACGTCATCAACTTGCAACACTAAAATAACAATAATGATGGTGAAAATTACAATCGCCCATTATTAAAATCTAATTTTCCTCAAGGATTATAGTCTTTACATATCATATGTATACATATGAATGTGCAGTTTCTGGTTTTTAGTTTTTTATATGTCGTCCCATTCTCCAGTTTTATATGAATTGAACTGACGGAAGTTGGAAATATGAAGGTCCTGGGTTCAATCCCCGGTGGGGTCATGGGTACGCACTGCTGAGAAGTCCCATACTAGGAAGAAACAGTTGTCCAATGCTCCCAGATTTTCAATGTTTTTCCAACTGATGTGGGTCCATAATGAATACCTACATTATATAAATAGACGCGTGATCAGATTGTTCGAAAATACATCACACCGTCCAGATAAACTTTGTCTGCTAACTACACTATCTAAATTAATAAAATAAACTAAACACACTGGGATTATATTAAAACTCATCTAAGTAAAGAAACTAATTACTTCAAACACAGAAAAATAAAATCTATATACTTAAATTATTGAATGGAAGGTAGTTAGTTGATGAAAGATAATGAAAGACACGATAAAGATTAAGGAAGTTTGAATGAAATCAATTATTGAAACTAAAATCACAGTTATCGCCTGTGTTTATTTGGTGAGATAGTAATATACCTTGCATGACAAATCGAAATAAATTACGTAAATGTATGTGATAATTTAATAATGTAGAATGCAAAGTTAAGTAGGTTAAAGGTCAGATTTTTTGGGGTCAAACAATAAAACTATAAAGACGAAATAGGAATTGATTTAGCAGTGGCTGGCTAGCAGTAAAATCCAAGATGCACCTTTCATCCTATTTGGGAGTTATCATCTTGATGTATTTTCACCCCAGTGAATGATTTTGTTTTCACTAAGACTCGAATCCAGCAGACAGTGCTTCAAATGTTAAAGCGTTATCCACTGGGGCATGAGAGCCAAATTTTGTGAATTTATTGTGAAGTCAATTTTAAAAAGGGAATGAAAATACCAAAAAAAAATGAAACGGTTTATACTGAGTAAAAAACACAACACTGGCTACCTTGAAAGTCTTAAGTGAAATTTAATTGTTTCGATAGGAAAGACAAAGAGATCTAATATAAACATTGATACACAGGCTTTAAAGGAATGAATGACTGGTAGAACCAATAAACGTTAACGCTGTTACAATTGGCCAAGGAAACTATATCTCTCCAGCTCAATGAAGACACAAGCATTTCAGAACTCACAAGACCTAAATGTTCAAGCCTGATGGAACTCATCGACCTTTGTATGACAACATACTTCCAACTCAATGGCAAGATATACGAACAGATGAAAGGAACTGTAATGGGATTACCGATATCCAGACTAATTAGAGAAGTAGTGATGCAGGAACTGGAAACCATTATTTTACTTGCGATCACATCAAAAATGTGAGCTTGCAATGTGGACGATAAATCTGTCATTATTAAAAAAGATGATATCGAGAACATACAGTTTGATTAACAACGTTTTCAATGACATCAAATTCACAATGGAGAAGGAGTCAAACAACCAACTACCATTCTGGGATGTTTCAGTCAGTAGGACAAATGCCGGAAAGCTGGGAACCCAATTGTACAGGAAGTCACCACACACTGATCAAATCCTCAACAACGGTAGCGTCAACACAACAACGAACAAAAATAGTTTCATGCAGGCTCTGTTCAAAAGAAAGAGAACACACTACAGTTCAACAACTTTAAGGAGAAAGGAAGAAAATTGCTTGATGTCTACCCTAAAGAAGAACAGCTACCCACGAAACTTTGTCCGAAGATCTTCATCCCGTACACTATCAACTACAAACTCATCGACAGAAATCAACAAACGCATCATCCTACTATACATAAAGAACATATCAGAAATCACAACGAGATTACTGAGACCACTTGGAATTGGTGTGACTCATAAACCAACAAATTCCCTCCAAACACTATTATACAGACCAAAGGATGCAACAACCAAAGAAGATAAACCAAATATCATTCATAAAAATCAACTGGAATAACTGTGGTCAACACTATATTGCACAAAGTAGCCGCTCTCTTCGCCTTTGTCTACATGAGCACCAATTGGGTATTGAACGCCAAGACATTTTATCACTCATTTCAATGCACGTGGATAATCATGGACATGAAATCAATTTTGACAGTGTAGAAATCTTGGACAGCGGAAACACAGAGGATATCAGAGAATTCCTAGAAGCTTGGCATTCACGCCAGTCAGTCAGCAATCAATACATGTGTAGACACAGACCCAATCTAACAACCAATGAGAAAAACGATAAACGACAAAAAGGTCAGAGGTCAAGCAGAGGAACAGCCAACAGGGAAATCTATACAATCAACGACAAAACAATCAAAGGAAACAACCAATCACAAATCAGTTCATCAGGGCAAACTAGTGAATCACTGATGGAGAGATATTGACAGCTCACTTCATATTGAAGCTAGTGCTAATGATGTCATGTGGCAAGACGATGAAAGCTCTACGATTAAACAACCCAGCTCACATAGCACAATACAACCAAAAACATCTTATTCTTTTTCCTTGAATGCTCAATCACTTCATTATGGCATCAGAATATGGAGCGAAAGCAGTAATTCCTCTGTAATTCAATGAAGGAGGGACTTTAAATGAAGAAAAATTTTAAAAAGGAAATAAACCGATGTTTTTCAGACTACATTGTCACGGACTAAAAGTTGTATAGTACACCACTTATCTTTCCAATTCGCGTAAAGGTTTAAGAGGGGAGGATAAGGTTACTTCCTGCAATAACAATCTTCATTTCGAATCAATAAATGTTCTTACTGAATAGTGAGACAAAAACTTTCATGACCTCAGATGATAATGACAGTTCAGTATTATCTGTTTCAATAATACCACAAACAAATCAAATTATCGGTCACATAATGGAATGCTGAACATAAGGCATTCGAAATTCAACCGCCAATGTTATTATTGTAACAGTGTGTGCAACGGAAAACCATATATGTTTACGTATGGTAATCGTTGATTGTTACTTCAAAGAATTAAGAAGAAATTAGCAAATCAGCAACAGACTCAAGATACACTAGGTAGCTGCATTCTTTACACATTTTCGTTTATGACATCGAATGAGCGGACATTTTGAAAGAATAAAAAAGGAATAATGAGTTTGAGGGTTTGTACACACATATTACTGAATAACTGATAAGGTAAACTAACGTTGAGAAAAAAATCCCGAAAAAAACGTATTTTCCTTTGAATTTATACAAGGTAGACATTTGAGCAAAAATAACTTACGCGAATAGGTTGCCTTGGTTCACGCATAAATGCCAGTTTGCCTATAGCCTCTTGCTGAACATCTTTTACACGTACCGGAAAAGCAAGTCTGTTTTCTCGAAAGGCATTGAAATGCAAACGTAACTGTTCACCTAGCTTTGCGACAGGTAACAAATTGCCTGCTGCTTCAAGCCAAGCTGGTCTGCTTTCAATAACTTCAACTTCCGGTGAAGCCGCGCATACTTCAAAGCCTTCTTGGCATTCTAGAGTCTGTGGAATAATGATAAGGAAATGTAAAGTTCCATTTTAATCATAAATGATTTTGTACATTTAACCAGTATTTAACAGAATGCATATATTCGATTTACATTAAAGTAATTCAAACAAATCCTAGACTCTTAAAATGAACGCCTTTAGGGACAGCAGTTTTCTAGAATAAATACTTCCGGTTGATCAGTCTCCGAGAATAAGAAATAATCAAATAAGATATGGTATATGTTAGGAGATAGCTAACATAATCCATGTCGTTACTCGACTTGGTCAATAGCGTAACCATCACCTGATGTCATTAAGAACCGACAAAAAGGAGTAAAACCGGTCCATCGGATTTTAACCCAGTAGCTGGATGTTCTCACCACGAGACCTGACGATAATGGTGTTGATTCCGAAATGGATCGTAAATTGAATCTGCTGAGGAGTTCTAAACCAGGACAAAGTAGATATCCAACGCTCTCAGGTTTTCAATAGTTTACTAGTTAATGTTCTTACAAGATGAAAATTAATTTGCAATCAATAAATTGTCATTTTTGTTCAGCTTCCTTCTAAATAGAGTGAGGACAGCTTATATATATATATATATATATATATATATATATATATATATATATATATATTGTTAAGAGGAAGAATTGTAAGAAATTTCTAAAGAAACGCATTTCTACCGAATCGCTGAATCGTTTGGTGACCATTCGATGCAGAATACCACGAGAAGTAACTACGCAGAAATTTCCTTTCTGCTCAGCTAATTAAACTACCCAAATGAATTACATTAAATTATGGGGTAATTAAAGTTACCATCCAATGGAATGAGCGAACATCCCCGTTGCCCGGATTGATTTTGTGACTAGTTGGACTACAAGTAGTTCACAGTTTGCTGGTTTACAATATACGCTTCACTGAAAAGTTTTTCATCAGGAATCCTAAAATCGAATTATCCAGATCGGGAGTAACAACTGATACTCACTGACCACAATGGACAATGGAAGAGCTATTTCAGGAATTAACTAAAGATGAAAAATAAGGAATATTAGCTTCTTCGACAAAAGACTTAGTTGTTCTTGACTTCACTTCATATGTAGTCATGAGTTTTCACCGCTGATGGGTGAAAAAAAATGGAGAAAACAAATGTCTGGTCTTTACTATTCCCTTGGGTGGTGTTAGTTCGTGTTGACAAACACCTTGAAAATAGAGCTATTACAACGAGAAAATACCAGTATCAATGATCTGGTGCATAACGCTTTGGCGTTTCAAACGATGGTTACTGGGTTTGAGTCTCAGTGAGAACATCCCTCACAAGGGTGCAGTACATCCCTTCTGATGAGTCCCAGACAGGATGCGTGCTGGGTTCCACTGAGGGTCACAAATATGAATGCAACATCATAAATATTTGATACTATCAAGGCATCCGAATAGGAACCCATCTCCCAAGAGGTCGAGCATTTCGACGCAGTATAGCAACGGGAAATTACAAGTACCAATAAACAATAAATCTGTCTCTAAATTAGGTAAGTTGCATAGTAACCGGTAAAGTGAATGGAGTGCTTTTTAATGAGTTTTCAGTCATAAACAATAAGTAATTGAGCAATAACAAGAAAATGAATGAAAATTGACAGAAACTAAAGGCGGGAGAGGTGTAAAACGTAATACTAAAAGTCACATCATGTTGAGGGCCGCAGTAATGAAAGTGGTCGAATAAGCTTCTTTTGAGCATAAAGGTTTGGTTGGTAAAGATAGATTGCAATCGCTAATCCTATATGAAGTAACCGAATGAGTAATTCATACATGATGTAATTCCACTTACTCTACAAATTACCATGCAATTTACCTAAGAATAATCGGCTTCATATTGATTGTTATTTTAACTATAAGAGATAGCCGTGGTTTGGTTGACTAGATGATGAATGAATCTGAAATGAAAATTTGGACAGCAGAGGGGGTTCGAGCCAGTGACCACTGAGTGTCTGGCTCGGTTTTCTACCAACTGAGCTACGATGCCAATTTTAACTACCCTGTTGATTATTTGCATCTTAATTTCTTAAACTTATATCATCAATCATTTATTTCTCAATGAATTTATATATATCTGTTCACTACCTCTATACATTCATGTATATCATAAATCAAAATATACACATGTCCATATTTGAATAGCGCAATAATTAAAAGAACACGATGTTTTGAATATTGTTCAGTTTGTTGGCTTAGCTTGTTTCGTTGTCCACACAAAATTGAACAGCGACCTAATAAAATATCTTATATCGTGTAAATTATAATACTTACCATTTGCACACACATAATTAATTAGTGGAGCATTTTTAGTCACTGTTCAATATTCAAATGCTTAATTATGCCTACCCGTTGGTCAAATTAAATATCGTGAGAAATGTACACAAAACTGACAGTATGAGAGAGAGGGGGTGGGTGAAAACTTACCTTAAGAGAATGACAGTTTTATTATGTTAGCAGACATTCACCACCACTCAACATTCATACAAGAATAGAACTTATGTCCGAAAAGGTATATCTTAGATTATACTATTTTATTGTATGATCAATTTCACTAACTAGCATAGAACTGTACAGTGTATGGTTTGTATCTACTAGTTTTTAGAATCCAATGTATCATAAAACAAAGATTTGGCATAAAACAATGCATATAGGTACGTCGTGATACAGTATCATTAAATGGATAATGTTTCGAGCACTATTTATTGTATTCATGATCAAATGAATTAATATTAAGCATAAGAAGTAAACAACACAGTGCATGAATGTGAAATACTCTAATATCATATAACTCAGTGAGTATTTGCACGTTCATACTATGCACTAGGTGACAAGATCCACTTGATGTATGGGAGCCGTTGATACTACCTAGCTATTCAAATCTGAGGAGTTGAACCGTAACTCAAACCCATAACCCTTAGCTATTTAATTTTTGATAAACTTGCAATCCTTTTTAAACGTTACTGGAAATGGTAACTACAGGAATTGCCTTACTGGTATCCATGTAACACTGTATGTAACTCTGGTCAGTTGTTTGGGGAGGTGAATGTCAACCAGTGGGTCATGGAATGAGCCCCGTTCCACCCACCAAGGTTTGGGCCGCCAGACAGTATCATTAACCTTCACACAAGAAGTGTACATCTTTGCCTACTATACGAATGTGCACAAGGTGGCTGAATGCGTTTCATTTCATTCGTTGGTTTCACGTAACACCGTTCAAAGATCATAGAGTGTAAAATTGGGTGAAAAGTATTTACATCAGGGGTGTAATTCAAAGTAAAACAAAATAATTAGCCAGTTGACAAGGTAGTAATGATTGATACACATGTTATGTAGCCTCGACAACACTATTTAATTAGATTACGCAAGAAATATTGAGATGATATCAAATACATCTCCATTTAGTCTTACGTTAAAAGTTATATTTTAATCAAGAATTTCGCTAATTTCTTGAAAACGTATATCGCAGAAGATTATCATCAAAAAAATAATTTCACTAAAACTTGCCATGCTATTTACAGAAATCCTAAGTGATATATAGATAATTTTCTGTGGATCAGTGAGATGATACAACAGCGATCTTTTAGAAAAACAAATAATATTGGCTCTCATAATATTAATAACAAGATTAAACTTAATAAACAAAACAACAATTGAGTTGCCATAGGATTCGAACCAGACCCAAAAGAGTCTCGTAGCTCAGTTGTTAAAATACGGGATCGGTAACCTAGAGGCAGGTGGTCCAAATTTTCATTTCACCTTTAATCATCACCCAGTAAAAATGATACAAGTCTGCCAAACCATGACTATCTCAAATAGTCAATCTGACAATAAAAAAACTAGTCATTTTCAAAAGTATACTGACTAACCTTGTCCACTTTATCGTCTGTTACACAAAAACATCGAACCAAAGCTTCATCTGTGTCCAGGCGTTTGGTAAACACAACGAATTTACCCATGTACGGAACTAATGTGGCTTCAGCGTACAATCTACTAGCCAGCTCTGCAGCCTCATGCACTGCAGGGCAATCCATAAGCCAAAATCTGGAATAGGTACAGAAAAAGAGATAAAACAACAGTAAAACCATTCATTCTACTGACCACTTGGAGCTGACAACATAACTCTGTATATAATGGATTATCAAGAAAATAAAACCGCGTAAAGTCCATCATCCATTCACAGAACTTATAAACAGTTTTATCCAACAAATTCTCTAGACAGATTTTTGTAGTGATTTACTATTATTATTTGTCCCTTGGGTTCCTAATGGAAAATAGGGCTTCAGTAGCACGTCTCCATTGCACTTTCTTCTCTCCAGTCTATTCAACCTGGCTTCACGGCAGCCCAGAAGCTTTCATTTCTTCCTTACATGATCTCCTCCATATCACCCTCGCCTCGGACGCCTGACTCGTCGTTTCCCCCTTGGATTCCACTAGAGGACCTGGCGCGTGATGTCTTCGAATGGTTTTCTCAGTGTATGCCCAATCTATCTCCACTTTCTTCTACTGCATATCTGTTGGGCAATGGGTTCTTGGTTGGTTCGTTGCCAGAGTTCCTTGTTGCTTATTCTCATTATTCTGGCCACCTGATCTTCAGTGTCAGTATGCAGTGAAACAGAAACAGAAACAGTCAGGGGTCTATAAGGAAATTCGCCAAAGCGTTAGCCATTCGTAAACTTTACCCCCTGTTGTGTGTACAGAAGCAGTTTGTTGTTTCACTTGATTCACCTTGATAATCCTTATCTGATTATATTACCAAAACATGACCTTTAATTTTTTTCATCTTCAAATATAAAATGACTTGGCAAGTAAATCCGTGATCAGATTGTTCGAAATGTATTGCATAAATAAATCATATCTTTCAGATTACCTTCATCTTCTAATAACGTTATCGACATTATAATCGAGTTCTTCTACAAAGTCATTGACCCAATCAAGTACAAAGAGAAGACAGACAGACAAAATAAAGGTCAAACATTGCACAGGGGTTAATCATTTCAAGTTGCCATGCTTCACAACAGCAAAACAGTAGACTAAATGGGTAGAATAAGGGTGATATCAAATTGGATAAAAGTTAATAATGGGAGAATGAACTTGAAAATCCAGGTTAGTAAAAATGTTCAGTTTAAAAGACGTCAAAGGGTGAATAACCTGCAACATAGTGACCAAATTTTAGCCACATCAGCGGGTATCACCAACCCCTGATTTTGATTATCTCGATGATCCCAGTCACGTAGGCCACACCTACCTCCCTACACGGTTCAGACCAATAGTCACAGACTTTATCGACTGATGCTACGTCTTGGTCTCACCACTTTTAGCCTTCCGCCAATCGAATCCTACTTCGACTAATATTGTGCGCCACGGTAGGTGGTGGCTCGATATGCTCAAAACATGCTCAAGTCACCTTTCAGTTGGTTAAAGTTCACAAAGAGGACGTAACAAGTTTTGTGTTAATGACAAGTCAGTCAGTAAAAGTTATGCGTAAAAACAAAGAGCATTACTTGTACTACTAATGCTAGAGAAGTGCGGTTATGGTAACGGTGACGAAATGTAGAAGTCAAACTAATGGAAGATATAGTCTATGGACGAGTATAATTAGGATTCTGTAGAACTGGTGTTAGTAGTCGATGAAGTAATAAGTAATAAAAACAATAGGACTATTGATGAAGGATAAACAAACAGTTGGGAATCACAATTAAATTGCGAATACAGTAAATTAGGTTGAGAAATAAGACAAACCTGATAGAAATAAGGAACAAGAAGAATATGAAAAACGACAGAATAGAAATCACACGGAAAGTCAAAAATAAAGGGGCGAAACAATCACCAAAACGGTGCGCCAAGTGACCCAAATACCCAGTGTGTACACAGCTCAGGTTTAAATCGGCGAAAAGCTGCTATTTTTCTAAAATGTAGCAATATATTATTACTCAGTTCAATTAGTCCCATGGAAAGAAGTATTTAGAACTACAGTATGAATAGTATCAATAAAGTTTCGACCCATAGCATTGCTATACAGCCTGGAACCTCTCAGAGACAGTTTCTTTGGCACATGTTCGAACATTCTCTTGACAATGACCTCTTCCGTGTTTTCGATGAACTTGCTACAGCAGATAGTGGTAAATAGAAAGACGCAGTTTGAAATAGCTAAAGCAGATTCCATATCCAGATAACATTCTATAAGCATGTTCTGCATGTTATGAACAACTTCCAAATTATCAGCAAGAAACGTCAATGATATGCAGGTGTTTAATCGACGGTTATCCTCTGATTTCAGACCATCTTCCTTAGACAGCAGTTTACTGAACATAACGTTTTAGGGGACAGTTTTCTCCCTATTGATTCTTTATTTTTTTGGCTGTAAATACCTGTTAAAGAGCTTAATAGGTAAAGTTTTTCAAATGTTTTCCGGTTCATTTACCTCCAGCTCTCTGTACTGGAATCTAGTTGTCCATGAAAGCAATGCTTTTATCAAACTACTCATATATGAATAGATTAAAAGCTATAACATGCGACATACAGAGTAGTCCCACGAGCTAACGACAGATTTTACGAAAAACCAAGCACAAAATATGGAGTACACTGAACAGTTTTTTTCTACGTGAATCTGACATCTTGGTGTCAAATGTTTGTAGTGAATCAGCGGGGAGCTTTGGGCATAAGTTTAGTGCTTCTCGGAACTAGATCTGCAAGGCGTACATGCGACTATGAAGAAACCGATGAAGCCTTGATGATAAGAACATGGGTCAAAAAGTGCTGAAATCAGAGATTTCATCCTTAAGCTATTCAGGGTACAATATGCCTTGCTGATGAATGTCAACAAGCATGGAACTTAGATCCAGCCTTTCTGCTGATTGACTCTCCAAATTTAACATCAAAATGCAGTGCACCGCAGTGTCACGTCATTCACTTTATTGGTCACCATTCAAACTTGATGCACAGACTTTAGCCACTACTGAGTACATCAGTAACCGACTGAAGACTAAATACGTAAATTTGACGTTGATTATCGTGAATTGTATCACTGGATTTCTTAGAGACATTACCTTTGATTCTGATAAACCTCTTTGTAAATTTATTGATCTCTGTGATTTTTTGTTGACTACTATTCTGGACCGAACTAATCGATCTCTGTTGATATACAACAGACTTCTGGGTTCAAGTCTCAATGAGGACATTATCATACATTGAGATGCATGTAAGTTCAGGTGGTGAGCCCTAAATAGGACAAAACGCTCGTTCTGGATTCCTATACTAGCAAATAATATCTGTTTGTAAAGTTTGTCTACAATTTAATATAAATATACCTATAGGCAGATTAAGAAATGAAATGAAGTTACCTCATCCAATGAGGGTTTTTGTTTTTGCTTTACAAACATAACTACTTATCCTTACTAATGAAAGTGATTAACTTGTGGAATGAAAGCCTTCTACTAATATGTAGGTATGCGTTTATGATGAATTCATTACCGTTATAAGCATGCTTATACAATACTACTGCCATAGTAGTGATCAATGTTTTTGTATGTCAGTACAGAGCCATCGACAAGACGGTAATTGAAAAGAAATATTTCTTCGCTCACTTTTTTTGTTTTTTAAATCCCCTAATGGGGATTTTCACATTAATTGATGAACACATTTGGTCTATAAGTCTGTTCAGGTTTCACAAGTCATCAAACAGCTATATTAGGGAACCAATAGAAGTGAATAGTTCGGAAAATATGGAACAGATGCCACCATTTTGACATTAATTCTTACTGAATTTGTAGGGTTTGTGGGATTTGGAGATATTTTAAGTTGGTTTTCATCATGGACTAACATCAGTTGGAAGAACATTGGAAACCTGAGAGCACTGGGCAGTTGTTTCGTCCTACTGGGGGACTCCCCAGCAGTGCGCACCCATGACCTTCAGGTTCCGTGGCCGGCACGTTATCATTGGGCCACCGGGTCGGAATCCAATAGTCCACATTTCCAACGTTTGTTAGTTCACGGCATAGCGCGAATATTACCCACTGTCATCGTTGAGAATTTGTCTTCACGGCCACCAGGTTTGCCCCACTGGTCACGACTTGTAACTGAAACTTCAGGAATCACCTCTCGAAGCTAGTTACCAATGAGTACTAGTTCAATTGAAATTTAGGGGTCTGTGGGGATTTAGAGATTTTTTCAAGTTGGTGTCCTATGAGGAAAAATACTCAATTATGACAGTGGGTGATGGTCGCGCTATGCCGTGAACTGACAGAAGTTTGAAATATGGACTATTGGATTCCGACCCAGTTACTCAATGATAACGTGCCGGCCACGGAACCTGAAGGTCGTGGGTTCGATCCCTGGCTGGGTCGTGGGTGCGCACTGCTGGAGTCCCCCAATAGGACGAAACAACTGTCCAGTGCTCTCAGGTTTCCAATGTTCCTTCAATTGATGTCATTCAATAATAAATACCAGCTTACCATTCATTAAAATAAAATCCTAGTCACAATGCAAACCCATGAAAACCAAATGTACACAACGCATAAAGATTAGTATGATGAAAGTAATCAGTATTCGAGTTTACCTTGCTGAAACAGTTGTAGTGAATGAGACACAATCTTTCACTTTAGACAATGGTGTAGATCCGGTAATATCTTCCCACTGGGCTGGTGCTGTACCCCCAGTAATACTGCATAGTAGTCTTAAACTTGGTACATTTTGAGATTTTAAATCCCCAACTGTTGGATTAAGCATACCTCGGACAGCAGCTTTTGGTAGTGGAATTGTTAAAGTGATTGGTTTATGAAATTTACGACGACGTGGTTCTAATGTCACAATTGGAGAAACTGCAACACGATTGCCTAACAGACGTGTAACTAATTCTGGTGCAATTGGTTGAGCCTAAAAGATGAAAGAGAAGAAAGGCACAACAGAAAGACGATATCAAAAAGTAGTTATGATAGTAATTGGGAATAATGAGTGATTTTTATTAACAATTGTGCTCTATAAATAACAAGGTTGAATTGTGAACCCTTTGGTATACTAGGTAGTAAAAAGTTTGATTGCTGACATGTATGAGAAGCCCGATAGATCTATTGAATATGAGATCATTACCACAACTTCATCAGCATCTAGTGATCAACTCGTTCAAGAAGAAAAGTAGCCAAAAATTATTTTTTCTCTACAAGAACAAACGACTATAGGCGCATAAAATAATTGGTCTTCAATATCTAACACCAAAATACACAGGATGAATGACCTGCTAGTGATGAACCAAAGAATCAATCTTTCAGTTTATACTCTAGTATTCTATGTACTTCGTATAAACGGGAAAATAACTGTTTCTTCAGTTCAACATTCTTTAAGAAGTAGAGGGGTTATTCATTATCCAGACTCACAGGAAAAGTAGTGCCTCAGTTCAAGTTGTCACACTTTACACCAGCATGCAGAGAACACGTAGATAGTAACAAAAGTGGTATTCGGTAAATAAAACTGTCAAACAGTGAATACATCTGCGCCACTGTAACCGATTTTCAGTTATGTCATTAAGAGTCTCCAACCACTTACACCTATCATCTTGAGGGACCTAGCTACACTTCATGGACTGGTGTTTTAGTCTGGTCATCTTTAGCCTTTTTCTAACCGAATAGTACTTCGGTCAATATTGTACTTTGAAATGGGTGGTAGTTCGGCATACGGAAAACTTTTGCGTGCCACGTCATTCGGTGAAGCTTAACATCCTCAACAGGTGGCTTGTATTATTTGTCTAGTGGTCAACGACTTACCTCGACAGTGTTTATATGGTGTCCTACATCATATGCAAGTAATTCTGTGAAAACACCCATGGTTAAAAAATGACTATCGATATCGTCAAATAATACTTTTCGTTTGCTCTACCATTTGAAAACATTTAAGAATTAAAAAAGAAGAACAATAGTGCTTTTGTTCGACTTTAAGAAATGGAAGAACTGTACAAGCTTACACATTAATTCTACAAGTCATCAGGTGAAAAGTTATACTACAACGCTTGCAGAAATCTAACTGTTTACAAAGAGTGTACTGCATATATTACACTTCGTTATCTTCTGCCGTAAAAATGGCCATTATATGTGAAGGATATGAGAAGGCTTCAAGTGTTTGACTAAGGTTGCTTTCGTAGCGTAGACAGTTTCTCTTGAAATTCTTACGTCAGTAAAGTAGAAGTCAGGTGTAGAGCCTTAGGTAAAGTAGGTAGATCAGCTAGTGTGACTGTGAACTTTTATCCATGTGTTACATATGGTTAACCACCATCTGTCTACCTAGGAGTGCCGTACTAACTGAAGTAGGATTAAGCTCGAAGAAGTCTAAAGGTGGTCAGACTAAAACATGACATCAGTCGTTGAAGTCTCCGACTGTCGGTCTGAGTTGTGTAAATGAATGTAGACTTCCCGATTGGAGTCCGTGTAGCAACCGGAACCGGTAGTTGGGGTCTCTGTGAAATGCTTCAGAACCAATCTCAGCGGCAAAGATGCACACATACAATATCACCTTCTAAATCGTTATATAAAATTAAAAATTTTGGTTTGTAGGGATTTACTGATTTGAAAGCAATTTTCATCACTGAGTGACACCAGCTGAAAAACCATTGAAACCTTGTGAGCACTACACGGCTGTTTCATCCCGGTTTAGGACTTCCCGGCAGTGTACACCCATAACGCGGAAAAGTATTGATCCCAAGGCCATGAGGTCTTGTGGAGAGCGTGTTATCATTCAATCACTCGGTTGGAATCAAATAATCTACCAATTCGTTCTGCTGTTAACTTGCGATATATATATATATATATATATATATATATATATATATATATATGATTACTGCCACCAATCATGGAAGCTATACTTGAAGCATCTCGCCACCTATTCGGTCAATATCACCACAAAATGTAGCACTGCCACACACTATACCAGCAAATGAGAAAACAAGGCAAAAAAGAGAAAAATAGGGAAACAAAATAATGTAATCAAAAGTTGTAGAATCTCATATGAATAGAGGAATAGGAGGTAAATCAAATAACGGAATGTGATATTAGGATAATGTGTGGATGCATCGGTGTCAATACGATCAATACTGAGCTATATAACCTAGAGTCTTCAACCATCGATTCTAGTTAGTACACTGATCCTAACCACCTGTCATCAAATATCTAATGTTCTGAAGATGTGAATACATTCATGCTAAAAACAACACCTATTAAAAAGTCAACATGTTATAGACCATGAGCTTTATAAAAAGAAGCGTGAAAGGATAAAACTTTACCTGTAAGCCAACACGTATTCTTTTTGAAGCGCACCTTCTGGGAACACAGCTTGTACTTGTGGGACAACTGTTGAGCTAAGCACACCTCCATCTGAACCAACTAATGACGATTCTTGACGGAGTCTGCTAACAACTGCCAAATACTGTGGAAAGTCATTGGTCAGTATGCGAATGATACGCTTTTCTCGAAGTTCCTCCATTGTTTCTAAACCATCTGCTTAAAGTGAAACCATTTGAAAAGAATATTGATAATAAATTAAGGTGTCAAAGCGAGGAGAAAACTTCATTCCTGCATTAGTTAGTACAGACTTATTTACACGAATACGACGCAGAAGAAACAAGTTACCGTAAAAATAATCAATGATGATTAAATAACACCCGAACACCACCAAATGTGAATTGTGGGATACCCAACTGAATTTAAACATTAACGCTGCGATAAGTGGGAAACAGTTCGAGAAAATACATATTTATCGAAATTTCTTGTCAGGCTTTACAACTTTTTCGAGAGATTGCTCAACATAAACATTTGATACTATTATAGTTAACAGAATTCAAGTTTGAGTAAATGAATTGGAGGATAACAACAGGGGTGGTAATAACAATCAAATCTCCCAAGAGTTTAGATAATCTCAGGAGTTAATCATTATGACTTGTGTATGTAAGCAGAGAGAGAAGGTCAGAAATTAGTCATATAGCAACTAGACACAATAGGGTGTTTGAACTTTTGATAGATTATGACGCTAAGGTCAAAATATAAAATTAAAACGGATTGTAACGAGAGATATTAACGATAAAAGTACAAACAACAGTAACATTTACGTTTATACAGTTCGTTCAGAAGGGAAATCACTGTAACTGAGTTGAGAGTGAAGACAAAGAGAGGATATGGGATCGAACAAACATCTTTCGTATAAATAAATGAAGTCTTAAAATACTAATTGATGAAACCTCTAAGGTGGTTAGTAACTGGAAGCGTACAAACTTAGGGGCACTGTGATGGCACTTTGTATGGAACGGTAAAGGATGAAGATTTATTAATCTTATGCTAAGGTATCCACTAGATAGGTAAGTACTGACCTTTTAATGGATTTTACTGTCCCTTTGCCTGACTATGGTGGACGGTATTCAGAGAAGCGACGGTGGGTTTTCCAGATTTTTCCACCTATGTAGGTATCTTCACATTAGCCAATAAATTTGTAAATTAAATTCATAAAGATGTGGCCAGACTCGAAGGCCTATCCTTCAACTGCATAGGTATCATATAGCGAGTACTATATTTCAAACAGTGTTGCAGCAAAGTACGTTCGTCTACTGGTTTTCTGTATTTCAGCATCAGTGTTTTCACAGATGCATATCTTTCGAACGTCACAGCCAGATACAGTAGCTTCTTCAGTGCCGTTTGAAGGTATTTCTTTTTACATGCCATCATTGTAACAGCCTATACAAACATTTTAGGATAAGGAGATGTTTATAGTTCTTATTTCATGATTCAAAATATCAGCTGTGCAAATCTTCCTGGTATAAACAACTAAGTATAGATTAGATTCCTTATTTATATCAAAGAAAACAGAGATCGGAAGTGCATACATATATGATGACCACATTATTTTAATTTCCATATTACAAGGTTTTGTTGTTATTATTATGATCACCTTTGTTGTTATTCCCTAATTCATACACCCTAATGATACCAAATACCTATGTTGAATAACATAAGACTGCTTAATTTCAATGTGACACATGACCCCGATTGGTTACCTTTTCATATACGTTCATCCTTGCACACAAAATAGACATGAAACACGCTAGTCATTGCTGTACAAACCGCACTAAGAATAAAAAGACAAAATCTAGTATTTGTTGGAGTCGTTTTAGTATATATATATTAAGATAATTTTTCATGCCAAATTGGCAGCAGAAAACGAATAATTAACAACTTCGGAGTAATGAGCAGTTATTTCATTCTTATTTAGGGCTCCCCAACAATATACACCAGAGACCCATATACTTCATGGATTCCAACTTCGATCCTTGAAGCGAACGCAATAATCTTAGAAACCAGTCGATTTCTCTGCAAACCTTCAAACGGAATAACAATTATCTTTCTTTTTGTCCTAGGGAAAACAAACTTTAAAGCCGAAATGAAGAAACCTGATTGGTCGTTTAAGTAGTTGCCAGGGTAGTAGTATTTAATTAGCTTGTGACAAAAAAATGAATAATAACTAACACCAAAGGTGATTTGCATGATTTCTTTGAAGTGCTTTCAACACAACGTTTGAGGGGTATCATTTATCATAACGTTTATGCAACAAAAGACTGTAGCAGTGACAAAATCTATATATGCATAATCCCATATAATTCATTTGCATACCTAATTTTTCTTAAGAAATACTTACAGACATCTGAAGATTAGAAACATTGGTGTTTGAGGTTTTTCTTCATGTTTTAAGTGTCCTTATTGAGATTGACTCTAACTAAAAATTATTAACCATTAGAAATATCAACTTAAACAGAACGCTTAGGCTATCGGTAGGACAGAATGGATAATATTTACTTACTACGCCCTGATAGCTGTCTTAATAATAGCAGTAATAATAGGACGAAACACCCGTTTAGTGCCCCCAGTTTTCCAACCGTTATCTAACTGATGCCATTCGATGATGAACACAACTTTAAAAATAAAATCCTTATGGACCTCAAACTACATTACTGTATAGTGCTCATTAGCGACATGCTTCAAGATTGATATCCCGAAGTCCTAATGACAAGCCGTGACCTGTAGGGTAAACCAGTTAGAAATGAAGCTGAAGACCTTGGTGAATAGTCACGCTGTATTGCGAATTGACAGAAGTAGGTAACTGTGGAGCATTGAACTCCAATGTGTTCGTCGTGAAACACGAAGGTCCTGAGCTCGACCTCCGATGGGGTTGCGGGTGTGTACTGTAACTCAATCAGCTAATATCAATATCTGACCAGGGATTACTACGTAACGACCCAAGATACTACCTCATCATATCAGCACAAGTGACGAAGTAGCAAGATGGAAGCTAAGGAGTCCCACACTAGTATGGAACAGTTATTCAGTACTTCCAGGTTTTCAATGGTTCTCTCACTGATTTCAGTCCGGGATGAATACTACTTTACAAATAAAAATGCCACAAACCTTCGACTAGAATAATAATATCAATTTATCTCAGATTTCATTTACTCTTTTGTTGCAACAGAAGTATACAATAGAAAAAATTCAAGCAAATTGTACATGTGTATGCTTGTGTGTGTGTGTGTTGAGAATTCGGAAATTATCGTGAATATATTGCTCAACTAAACAGGTTTTTATGGTGTTATAAAAGAAATATATTTGTAAAATCACGATGAGGCAGAAAAATAGATTTCTGACGTTTCACGACTTCCTGGGAATCTATTCTTCAGAGAATAAAGCCTGTAAAAGTTATCGAATGTTTAAATAATATCATTTGACTAGCTGAGATAGCCGTAGTTTGGCAGACTAGTATTGATACCGGGTGATGGTTGAAGGTGAAATGAGTATGATCAAGCGGTAGTCACGTGTAACGAATTCATATGGCAGTCAGGCAAAACGCCTGGTGATTGTAGTGAAATAAAAGTCTGGTTGCCAGGAATCGGGTGTCCTAGTTCAGTTGGTAGAGCACTGGGGTGGAAACCCGGTAGCGGCTGGTTTGAATCCTTTCACGTCCCGATCAGCACTCAGTTTGGAAATATTAAATTTATTCAATGTATAGCGCTAATACATCACACGTTTCGGATAATCTTCATCTTCTCATTACGCTGTTTAAATTTATTCAATCAGTATTTTCAAGTTACACAGAGAGACGGATAGCTGATGTATTTCACATTGTGCAGAATCCTAATGTACTCAACAGAAAGGTAGACCTAACTACTCAACCAGCTTGGTTAGTATATCCAAAATAACACGTCACACACAATAATCAGAACAAAAATCAATACACATAAAGAAGTCGAATTCTTAATCCTCAGTGCTTTTCTCATACATTCACATCTTTATCTTCACTTCACAGATTAATAACTGATGACGGTGACATTCACTCACATATTATTATCATACACGAAAAACGTGATCTGGTTTGTAGTCACTTACTATTTAAACATGCTTATACTTGTATAGATTTAATCCATTTACTCAATGCTCAACTTATTCAAGTCTATCCGGTTAAATTTTACTCCTGAATACTATTAAAGCTATAGTATATCTTTCGAACATTAAGTACCAAAGATCCAAATGTTACAAAGTGTCCATATTCGTGCGAAAACACAAACTTAGTGTCCGCAAACAGTGATCGTGGGAAATATGACAAAATACAAACAGTAAAATAGATACGAAATTGCAATTAGATTGACTTTCAGTCAATGAATGATTGTGCAAATTATATATTGATACTGGGAGATGACTGAAGTTGAAATGAAACCCTCTGAGTAACTAAGCCAATGCTTCAGTAAGTGAGTTACGACAATCAGCTAATGGCCAAATCTTAAGTTCATTCACTGAGAATTCCGCCCGACTGACTGATATGTGAACCCGTAAGATGTAACAATCAGTTCATCGCTATTGCAATGGTTGCTCGACCAGCTCTTCTTGTCTCAATCACAATCGAATTATAAGTTTGGTTATAACATATTTGTCAATTGTGGTGTAAATTGTGTAAATTGCGAGTATTATTATTATTTGTCCCATGGGTTCCTAGTGGAACATAGGGCTTCAGTAGCACGTCTCCATTCCACTCTGTTCTCTCGCTCTGCGACTACCCAGAAGCTTTAATTTCTTCCTCACACTATCTCCTCCATGCCACCCTCGACTCGGACGCCCAACTCATCGTTTCCCATTTTGGGTCCACTCGAGGGCACGGCCTGGCGCATGATCTCCCCAAATGGTCTTCTCAGTGTATGCCCAATCCATCTCCACTTTCTTCTACTGCATATTTGTTGGTCGATGGGTTCTTGGTTGGTTCGTTGCCAACCACAACTTCTTGGTACTTATTCTTTCTGGCCGTCTGATCTGTTCCTCAGTATCGAGACAGTGTAGGCATCTGTTGATGAATGTCTATAGTTTGTTGGAAATGCTTTTCGTGATGCGTCAAGTCTCTCAACCATCACATAGAAGCACTGCCTTACTTGACTGACATTGGTGTTGAAAATCCTGATCTTATTCATGCTTTATGCTGGGTTGAGTGCAGTAGACCTCCACACTGATTTCAGGTTAATGAAGGCCTGTCTTGCTTTTCCGACCCTGACTTTCACGTCCTCATCTGTGTCGCGGCCTGTAATTGAAACGGTGCTGCCTAGGTAGGTAAATGGAAGAAACGATTTCTTTTGAATTCCTCTCGTTGATGACGATTAGTGCTTGTTGTTGTTGTTGTTGGTGGTGGTGGTGTTGGTGGTTGGGTATCTTCATCACCTTTGTGTTCTCTACATTCAGTTGAAGTCCCGTCTTCCCTCGCTGCCTCGCCTCAGTTCGTCTCTTCCGCCAACTTCTTGGTTTTCACCTGTAGATCTTGTAGTTTGTGCGACATTAGACATAAATCATCATCGGCGAAATCTAAATCTTCTTGTGGGGTCTTTTCATCGGTCCAAGTAATAAATTATGAGTAATTTATCATGCTAAATGATTACACCACAGAGAGGGATAATTAATTATAAAGGTCAATGTTATAATTTGTCTGGTGAGCAATTAGTACGGAGAGAAAGAATATTCTTTAAAAGTAAAAGACAAATTGAAGTCAGAAGTCATACCAAATATCAATTTCTTTTACCGTTTATAAGCCGTAAGAACAGTGTCAAATGGTCATTCAGAATGAAACTTCTGTCAGTAACAACTGTCGCCTCCCACCCCAGCAACTTTGTAAATATTTGAACCGGTCAAATTTCAAGATAAAAATTACTCTGACAAACATTGATGATAGATTATAAGTTGAAAATGGAACAATTTTCATCTTTGAATGGAATATGAGAAGTACTTTTAAAAATAGAATATTAGTCATACACATACAAATGATTGGTGTTTATCTTAATGTCAAATATCAGTCAGCCAAAATCCAAATCAACTACAAAACAGCCATGTATTCTGCTCTCTGACAAAGGACAACTATATATATATCACACCGTGACGCAGTATTGTTTACTGGATTATGTTTCGGACACAATTTACTCTCTATAGTCATATTCCTTTTCATTTGTTATAACGCTAACAAAAGCTTTTGTTCGCTAGTTAACTACATTTTCTTGGGCTTTAGTTGTTCAGAAGCCAGGCTTTTATGCAACGAATAATTTTTATTGATTCCTCAATTTGCTTCCATCGCTTGTCGCCAGCACGCTTTATTATGGGTGTGCACTGCTGAAGACTTCCATACTAAGACGAAACAGATGTTCAGTGCTCCTAGGTTCCAGGGGTTTTGCACTTGATATCAGTTCAATGATGAACACAAACATGAAAGCAATAAATCCCGTAAATATCCAAATACACTGTTTCCTAGCCCTGGAACATGATGGCAGAAGTGGAAGGGCGGTCAGTGTATGACATTGCACCGTGTGGTGAAGGGTAGTTGGATCGGATTAGTATCTGTTGGCGCATCATGACTCCCTGGGTGGGGTCTGAGAGATCACATAACTCAGTGACTTGAGACGTTATCACATATGTCTGCTGCTCGAAAGTAATGAATGTTTTGTTTTGAACATATCTTATTCAACTGTTTTTCTATTCATTCTTTTTCTACCGTGTTTCTCTTTTTTATCCACTACCCTTCGCTTTATCCCTTCATGACGTCAGATTATTTTGTGTAGCAAATTTCTAGGTGGCCTTCCAGTACCAAGTCTGTGTTCTAATAAATAAGTGAGTAATAATGATATTGATAGCTGAAAGTCCTTTACAGTTATCAGTAGACAGCAAAATAAGTTGCTTGCAATTGCAGAAGCCTGGGCGAATCGAGTTGTCAAACCTCTGCACTCAGAAGGAAATGTCAGTCAGCCTGAATCTGCCATGGTAGGAATCGCGTCATTTAATCATATTCACGCTTTTTAACTTGCTCTTCAACCTCAATTATCACTCCCACCTTATATTTTTGTCTACCTTACCAGATTTGCTTCGACTAATTAACCTTATCCACTATTGTATGAGGGTGTTTTTACCTGCATAACCCTGGGCCTAGTATATTATTCATTGTTATTCTTCTCGATACACACTTGATTTTATTACTGTGTCCTATTAAGTGAAAACTAACTATCTTGCTCTCAATGACGCAATCTACCCTTAACTGACTCAGTTTTCACCCTTGTGTCAACATTATTATGACTATCATCACTGTTTTCTTACCTCAAATGACTCTTTAGACTCCACTCTTATCCAAACTCACAATTAATTATGCAACCTATCCCCAACCCATTCAGTTTGAATAATCACTTATACACAAGCAAAAATATACCTCTTAGGATGACTCACTTCTATGTTGTTACGCCTAAATTGATGTCTTGGTCCGCGTTATATATGTGTATATGTGCATGTTTTTTATCATTACCTAATGTTATATATAATCAAGTATGTAGAGTATCCAGCTGGCAAGTACTACTGAAATTCATGAATTCACTAAATCCTGCTTCTTTCACATTCGTTGCTTGTTTTAACATGTATTTAATGAAATTTGACCTTTGGTATATGACTAAGAAAAACCTTGAAATTTTGAAATGATCAGCTTCCCAGTAAGCAACTTATTCCACACATTAACAAAACTTCGGTGCTGGTTCAACAAACAATCATACAGAAAATAAAAATTAATTAGTCATCTAGCGAATTACTGCAGTGTGAGATCGACCCTGGAATGATAGCAGGAGCTAAAAGTTAATCACATCAATCAGTGAAACCTGCTGCAGAAATTATGACACTTCAAGTGACCGATGATCATTTCATTTACTTGCGATTGATTGGATCATAGATGTACTCGTGTAATCTAAGTTACAAGGTCAAGGGAATAAATGTATGACAAGAATTCAGTCATTTGAATACTGCGACTCTCAGAACCTAATTATTTCTGGCACACTGACAGACAAACTTGATCACCAACAGGCGAAAAAGTCAATCCGCGTTAATACCTGTGTATACAACACTTAATTTATCAGCTCAAAGTAAGTAGTGTTTTGTGTGACATCAGTTTTTAAGTTACAGTAACACATGCTAATCTTGGAATATGGATTTACGCTAAAACCTCTTAACAACCAGGTAATGACTTTATTCTTTGGAAAATTCACTAGTCCCTTTAAATCCTTTGAAACTTCCATCCCGGTTCTTTTCAATTTTCAACTGTTATTTACCAATAGTTTAATCTGAAACAATTAGTCCGTTTTATAAATTTGGATAACGCAATTAGAAGACGTAAAGAACAGTTTATCCTTACACTAAGCCTACCCTGGTAATGCTTATTTTATCGTATTACCAAAGTTGTCTTCAAATCCTATCTTTTTTCCTCTCATTATCTGCCTTATCATTGAATTCCTTTACATCATATTCGTCCTTCCCCCACTCCCAGTTTTCATATATAATGCCTTAAAAAGTAAATGTAAAATCAGATTAATCGAAATGTATAGCGTAAATACATAACATTTTTCAAATAATTTACGTCTTCTAATCAAGTTATTCAAATATTTTAGAAGTAGTATTCATCACTGACTGACATCAGTTGGGGAGCTACCGAGAATCTTGGAGCACTGGACAGCTGTTCCGCCCTAGTGTGGGACTCCTCAGCAGTATGCACCCACGAACTGGCTAGGGATCGAACTCAGGACCTTCAGGTTTCACGGCGAACGTGTTAACCACTCAGTCACTGGGTAGGATTTCGGTGGTTTGCAGTCTCCAACTTCTGCCAATTCACGAATATAGCGTGACTCTCCACCAGGGTCTTCAGTTGGCATCCGCTTCTGTTCGACTGGTTGATCCCACAGGCCACAGCTTCTCATTAGAAAGAAACAGCTATCCACTGCTCTCAGATTTTCAATGGTTCCCCAACTGATGTCAGTCCGTGATGAATACTACCTCTCAATTAAAATCCCTATTCATTACAAATATTTTAATTGTTTTTTTACACTTGCTATTGTTTTTCAGTTAGTATTCATCACGAACTGGCACCAAATGGAGAACAACTGGGAACTTGGGAGTACTTACCAACTGTTTCGTCGGAGTAGGGAACTCCACGCCATTTTTATTGTACTCCATCGACTTATCATTTTTGTATACACAGCTCTTTGTTTAATTACTTGGAACGGCTAAAATCTCTGTCACCCACTTACGAGGATTCATATTCATTTCTTATTAATGTGTCCCTGTTTTGTCTGAATTTATGTGCATAAGATTATGTTATCCTTCATTCGACCTTTTCAACATCTGCAAAAAGTCTCACAAGAACCTTTGCTGAGTAGCTATGTGTGTGTATGTGTATATTAATTGCCTAAAGGCAAGATGACCTTCAGACTCCTTAATATCGTATAAAGCTAAATGAAGTACATGACAATAACACATTCCTTGTTCAGTAGAATTTGATGAGAACAAGAGATGGCGTATATTTCTTAGTTATTTGATAAGCATTTACTGAAAGGAAGATCTTTTGATGAGTAGTGTATTATGACGAAACACTTAAATAAAAAACGAACCACTTTTCGATTTACTTAGATGAAATATGGGCGGAAATAACAAGAACTACTTACCAAAACTTTGGCCCACAGCAGATTGAACAGCTTGATCAGTAGCTTCCAATGAATGTTCACGCCATATTTCAGCATTATCACTACGCAATACAACCAATTCACGTTGACGACCACGTAATGAAGCAAAATGTGGAATTTCTAAAAGAACTGGTGAATTGAATCGACATGGATGTGGTCCTAACTCAATGATACTGTAAAATATAATATTGAAGAAGAAGAAATCATTAAAGCCAAATGACATTTTAACTTTCACATGTTGAAGACAATAAGTGTCTGTTTGAAAGGTTTCACTACTCCTAATGCTTCTCTCTCTTTCTCTCTACTTATTTCTATCATTTGGTAACATTTCGCAATAACACCTACTGTTTATGTGCATATCAATAAAAGGTTTGTGCAAGGTCAATGAGTTAGTTAAATTATAATATGAATTCAGGAAAAGAATACTGACTAAAATGTATATAATCTCATACATGAATAATATTCAGTGGATGACGGTTATACTGTAGTGAACCACTAAATAGTCCTTTTAGAAACTGACCGTTTACAGTATCCTCGGTAAAGACAACAATAACTGTACGGTGTAATATCAAAACTATAAAGTTTATTCGTGATAACATTGCAGAGGAAGCAGGATAAAGCTTATAATGCTGTGTGGATTATTGAGTGTTATGCTCACGTTTGTAACGCAATATATCAAGCATTTAGTAAACTGAAATTGTAAATAATTTGATAAGGCGTGGCCAACACGGTAACCTACAACATGCATTTCGTTCCACTTAGGACTCATCAGTTGGATATTTTGCATTCCGGTGGGTGATGGTAATCCCGCCAAGGCTTGAACTCAACATCTATCACTTCAAACGCCTGGACGCCGTCCAATGTGCTACTGGGTCATAACAGTCACATCTTATGAGACGGTTATTACTTGTGGATGATCAATAGTTGTACTTCTCCGCTGAGTGTTATTCTGAATCGGACTGATCGATCCGTATTGGTATTTGGGCTTCTATGAGAATGCCTCGAAATTACAAATTGACAGGTCCAAAATAGGGGGATATCTGCAGCCTGATTTTCTCCGTTAGCTAAGACAAATCAAATCACATAATAATTAATCTCCAGGAAATATCGATTCATTCACATAGAAGCTCATGTTCCAACCGAGACAGATATTGCTACTGTCTAAAAGAGAATGAGAAGAAAACAACTGAAGTAATATAGACCAAATTTTCGCATTCTTCTTGGTGTTACATTAGGGTTATGCACATCACATTTTTGGATTTCGCAAAGCTACCATGTACCAATTTCGTCATCACTGGTGTTATCCTCTACGGGAGTGCATGGATATTGTTCTCATTTGCAGGTTTGTAATCGCATAAACATTTTCATTATGATATTTAATAGTGAATGAATCACTGATATATTCCATTGATCTATTCCGTTTGCTATTAGTTTACATCACCTACACAACACACCCCTGTTAAAATGCTATTCTGTTCAACTTAGTGTATATATATGCACATCACAATGACTACATTAGAGGAAGTCAATTTCATCAGGAAATGAAACCAACCAGAGAACGGATAAAAATCAGAGGAAAGTTGACACCTGTTTCATCTTGGTTTTATGCTTCTTAGCAGTTTACACATATACAAACTTCAGATTTCACAATATCTGTATGTTTAGGATTCATTAATTTAAGCATCGCAACCAAGTTGGTCGAGAACGCATGCACTGCTTAGCTTGTTAAGTAGATCCCATCATTCTTATTTCTTCAAGAAAAAAATTCATTGGACGAAACATAAGTTAGATAGTTCAATTAGTAGAAATTGAATAACCAAAAGTATGCCTATATCGCAGTGTCGCAAAACGGTTAAATGTAACCCAACATAAATTACCGGCAAGCCAATCCTTCACAATCATTCAGCTGAGGTGGTCGAGCTGTACGTTCTGGGCGTAACATACGACAAGTAATGCGCGTTGGTGCACTAGCTGCGCTAGGTGGAACCAAAATTCGAAGACCTGGATGGCGGCTACCACGCATAGACCCACCACGTGCATCCACCAGAAATGAGACAAGAAATCTACAAAAGGCAATCGATAAAAATACGAGTAACACAGATGAGGTTGTCGAAACAGTGATGAAAATCCAAAGTAATAATATATGCACCCACTAAACAATTGATAAAACATTGAGGAACCTCACAAAAATCAATCAAATTCGAAGCATTAGAATTTTTATCAGGCATTTTTTAAAAAGAAAATCTGTGTTAGCTTCAACACTATTAAGTTGTAAAAGAATCAGATTCATGTCTTCTGAAACATTTTACGACACGATTTAACTAATTGGTTATCCAAGTAAGAATTGTAATTCGTTAAATTAGAGATCGGCTGATAAGAAATATGTGTAACATCCCAAAGATTAGATGACAAGCCTCCAAAAGCCTTTGCATGATTGTATGGATTCGAGTAGAGTGCCTTGATTCACATAATAACTTGGCTCGATGATCTTTTCGCAGCCAGACAACCGCAACTTCTGTCCATCGACAAAATACAACGCTGTTTCTCTCGATTTGCCTTTGAGTATCGAGTGACTGTGGATACTGCGATTTTAAATACTATGCCAATCAAATAGAAGCCATTTTAATTGTCCGCGAAAGACTTGGCTCCTTTTTTGTGAATTGAAATAGTCAATGATCCAAACCAGTATGATGGAAATATTGTTGATTCATTTACTGAGTGATATCTCGGTTATTGTGAGCTATAACTTCAAGACACCATTTTCAACAACTCCTATAGGTAAAATCTAAGGTCATACTAGAAGCACAAGGTTCATGGACAAGACATTTACATATGCTCAAACTCTATGTCGACTAAAATATCACAAAGTTTACTAAATCTTGGAACCCGTATGCAAATGAAGATCCCAAGTTTAACTAAAACTCTCAAATAATTGGTTTCCCAGTTGACTTAGTCAAGAAAACTACATTTTAAGGTGGCATTCATCACAGACTGACATCAGTTGGATAACCACTGGAAACCTGGGAGCGCTGGATAGCTGTTTCATCATAGCATGAGACTCCTTAGGAGTGGGTACTCACGACTTCACTGGAGATTAAATCGCAAACCTTCAGGTATCGCGCTCAGCACGTCACCATTTAATCGCTAGGTTGGAATCAAATGCTTGACATTTTCTTACTTCTGCCAATTTGTGACATAATGCGACCAAAATCCAATGCCACCATCGATTATTTAACCAAAGAAAATCTATTAAAAAACTCCAGACTTGTCAGTTAGTTTAATCTACCTCATAGTAAATCAGGAGACGGAAAAACAGTTGAGTGTGAGGTTCATGATAGCAAACTATAAAAAGTAAATAGTTACAATCATGATAAACCAATGACTGATAATGACTTCATGGGGGACTAAACAATACATATGATTGATCTAAGAATTAGAGATATGTTTGTTTCTTACTAACTATCAGTTTGATTGAGCTACATGCATGAGCAGCCAGAGCTGACTGACTTCTTCTTTGATACTGAACAGTGTGTAAAAATACTGACAAGTTCATAATACTTTAAAATATAAGACTGAAATTTTGTTCTCTGTTATACTTGTAATATATTTTCAAAAAGTAACAAGGATAGGAGTAATCCGCTTTATCACAAGAAAAAAATACTGCTCAATTCGATAACACGTTTTCAATGTACTGAGCTATCAGCTACATTTGTTGCGTAAGGGCTTGGGTACTGAAGAGAAGCCCAATGAGGCAGAAGAGATTGTTAATTGGAAAATTACAATCGCTATAAAAACAATAAACCTTATAATAAAGTCACATTTGGAATCATACTGCTTTTCGGCATCCCAGTGTACACTATTTTCGCCCTCTATATTTGTACGAAATATTGTCTTCGTTTAAGTATTTTCACATTCGTATAAGAAGCGTTAACCCTAATGTTACCTGGCTGGATAGGCCGAAATAGATAGAGTGGGAGTTCAAGCCCGAAACCCAATGGTTAGAAGTCAGGTGGTTAAGTCAGTGAACTATCATCCCAAGATTGTTTTCAGCACTCACATCATTACAGGTGATGATGAATAGGCTTTGAACTATTAGTCAAAGAAAACGGTTAACGAAAATAAATAGACAACGTGCACGTTTTTTTAAAAATTATTGCTGATTATTTCCCGTCGTTCGTTAAGCCAAATTGACATATCAGCTCCTGCGCGGACGGCTCGAGGTTGTAGCTTCATTTTCGATGGCAACGACGGAAAGTGGCCAGCAGTAGAACCCAGGATGTGCGTTTCACCCCATTTGGGACTCGTCAACTGGATGTACCTACCTTCTAGCGAGAACAGGATCATCTGCTGAGAGTCAGATACGTTCAGTTCAAATTAGGACGAAACACACTGGATTCCACTACTAGTTACTATCTATCATTAATACTAAGATGCAAAATGTTTCTGTAAATAATAATAGTGATCAAAAGGATGACATGATTAAGGCTTGAGGTATATTTATTTGCCATTAGAACTGTAAAATCAAATTGGAAAAGAAGTTATGCACTTTAAGGCACTAGACATAAGAGAAATAAACAAACGCAATCAAAATAAAACAAAATTGCAATAGTGCACATATGACTTGAAAAATTATTTTCCATATGACAATTTATTACGCTTTAATTTTATCATCAAATATAGAGTACAAATAGAAATTATTATCCTCCATATGCATGTTGATAAGCAGAGTGGAAGTTGATTGTGTCGAGGCAACTGGGACGATATAACTTACCCAAATAGTTCAGAGGGGAAAATTTTTCTCAATGACTCATTAATATAAAGTTTTTCATCAGGAAGCCATCATGTAAAAGAGTGTATGTGACAGATAATTATGCAACAATCAACAATAATCATAACATTGACTAAGTGACTGTTGTCAGTAGTATAAAAATGCAAAATATACTGAAGGAAGGTTAATTTATTTAACTGGTAACTGTATATAACAACCGTTACATAAAAATTAGATGATTATGAATTTTCAGCACAGCATAAAAATAATGATAAAACAATAATAATAGTCATCGAAGTAAATATGACATCAGAAGGATTGGTGTTGAACATTATAAGATGACCTTAGTGTTATGACCAGGAAAACGGAAGGAATTTAACAAATTGTTAGTTCATGTATAACTCAGATTTCAAATAATGAATTACAAAAGCTTCGACAATGTAAATTAAGTATAAATGTAAACGTTCAAGAAAGTTTGGCTAGATTTTGTAAGCAGTGTCGAACAAAAAACCAGGGGCTCAATAGTCAGAATCAACCACATGTTCAATAAATAATATGGCTTGTTTACTGTTTGTTAAGTCATTGTGGTAGACGCTCCGGAATGAGTCTATGGACCGACAGTGATTAATGCTCTACATATTTAGTTCCAAAACCTCGCCTAGTTTACTTCCCCGTCCTAAGCCCGGATAAAGAGGAAAAGTTGGGCATACGGCTAGCAACCCTACCCCGTAAAACAAATCCAACCGCTAAAGAAACTCCAAAGCACAAACAAAATATAAAAATAAAAACAAAATTATTCTTCGCTGGAATCAGGAAGTAGAAATGAGGCCGGTTGGTGAAAGCTATCGGGAAGCCAGTCGCCTGTGTCTTCTCTCTCTCTAGATGAAAGCGATAGTAAGCATGTGGACATGGAATGTCCGCACTATGTTTGAACTTAGCAAGGTTGCTCAGATGGCAAAACAAATGAGAAGGAATAGAGCACAAAAAGGCTAGCAATCTGCGAGAGCAGATGGAATGGAAGTAGACTCTCCAACTTCTAAGTGGAGAGTCGATAATCCACTCTGATATTCTCACCCAGATAATGCAGATGAAGAGAGGAAGGATGAATTCTACAGACAACTGAAATCACTACTGGACAAGACCTCACCCCACTTGGCAACATCAAAATCCCAATCCGTGACATGAATCCTAAACTCGAAGCCAACAACACCGGAGGAGAACTAACCATGGGTCGAGAAGCGCTCGGTGAGGTGATGAACGAGAATGAAGAATTGGTTGCAGAATTCTGTGCATTCAACCATTTGGTGATTGCAGTGAGGCACTGTGTTCAAGCACAAGGATATCCACAAAGCGACCGACATGCATTTGATTTCACCAGACACAAGGACACACTACACTGAAAATCACATCCACTTCATCTCAATCTCAAGAAAGTGGAGACCCAGTCTACTCGACAAAAGATCAGATGAAGAAGAGGAGCAGATGTAGCTTCACACTCACCACTCACTATCTAGTGCAAGGAACCTTCCAAATCAAGTTGGAAGCCTTCAAAAAACTTGGTGATAAACCAAAGTTCAAGTTCAACACCCAGAACACAAACTGAAGCACGAAACTACAAGGGACATCTTCACGTCAGTCAGTCAAGTCATCAGGACAAAATGGGAGAGAGACATTGAGCAACATCCCCGAGGAAACCTGCGTCGAAGAACACTGGAACTCTTTGAAAGAGATGTGGAAAGAAACTTGCATAACCGTATTAGTGAGGAAGAGGAAACAATACGAGGAATGAATCTCTATCGACACATGGAAGCTGATAGAGGAGGGAGAGGAGGATGGTGAAGCAGAAGATAAACCAGTGCAGTGCAGTGCAGTGATGAACGACGAGAAGAGGAACTGAGTCCAACGTATAAAACACTACACTGGACAAGGAAGTGAACAAGAGTGCGTGCAAAGACAAAAGACACTTCTACGACACACTGGTAAGTGAAGCAGAACAAGCTGCAGGTAGGAGAGACAGAGACCTGACAACATTGTATCAAATAACCAGGTTACTATCTGGGGAGGGTAGAGATCAATACAGATGAAACTAATAAAAGATGATGAAGGAAACCTAGTTACCAAAGAGGAGAAACAAAGGAGCCGATGGGCTGATCACTTCAAAAAGCTCTTGAATCGACCACCACCTGCAACTCATCCAGAAATACCACCAGCAGCGGAGCCAGAGAAGTATCGGTGAACACAAACCCTCTGATACAAGCAGAAGTCCTGAACGCCATAAAGTTACTAAAATTCAGG